CGTGGAGGACAACTACAGATGGGATTGTGGTTCACCACTGTGCATTTGGCACCAACGCCACATGTTCCTGGACAGGGATCCCTACATTTCTGGTTCTGACACGCCTCATTGGCGCTGCATTCAGAATTCACCACGCATTCAGGTCTGCACGTTGGAGGACTGCCAATGTATCCGGGGACACAAGAGCACACGGCCTGCCCATTTATCTCGCGGCATTGACTGTTGGGACCACAAGGCGATGGTGTGCAAGGATTCGTTACAACGGGTGCTGGAAGTGGTTCGAGGAAATAAAGAGTTACAAATAGGCCTAGAGACATTAGGGGTGTTTTCATTACTTGGCTCTCGACGACACTGCACAAATGCATTGCCAACAATCCAGCGGGACAGGGTAACACATGGGGAACGTGATTTATGCCTCGCAGATGGCGTCCAAGCCGCAAGTCCGGGTACAGGGATCGGCGAAGGTTGCCTAGAAGACACGCCTTGTTCCTCGGGCAATCCGAGTTCAAGACGCACTCAGGTCGGCATCCTCTGTACGGATCACCCTGGTATTCTGGAAGGCACGTGCAAATGCCATCGCGGCACTGAGCATTCGGTCCACATGGGGATGGATTGCAGGGGTCATCGAGGACGGGTTCTCTCGCTGGAAAGAGGGCAGCGTTTGAAGGCAAGGTAGGAGAATTGGGAGAAGTCGTTGGCTTACGTGGAGGTGGGGCGGGGAAACAGTTTGAGAAGGGATCTCCGGTGTATCCTTCCGGACACACACAAATCGGTGTATGATTAATTACAGAGCATCGGGCGCCAACGCCACATGATCCAGGGCAAGGATCCCGACACTTTTCACGGATGCATGCCAAACTGCTCTGGCATTCTGCATTAATTGTGCACTCGGGTCGGCAATTTGGAGGAGATCCGATGTAGGTGGCTAAACAGGAACACGAAGGTGATCCATTGATGTCGCGACATTGAGAATTGGGGCCACAAGGTGAGGGATTGCAGGGGTCACGATACTCTTCTCGGACTGGTTCTTGAGGGGGAGCTACAAAAATCACTACAATTAGGGACGAAAATCCAAATGAACAAGAGAGGGTGAATCTTACGAGGAATGGGGTAGCATCTGCTGAAAGGATCCCCGGTGTAACCCGATTGGCATGTGCAAATGGGACTGTGGTTGTTAACTCGGCAATTGGCATTTGTACCACCAGGTTTCCCGGGCAAGGATCGACGGCATTTCTTGATTCACACCACGCCTTTGTCGAGAGGACACTCGGAGTCACAACGCATCGGCACAACCCGGCGGGACTTCCCACAAAGTGGGCAGACATGAGCATACGATTGGCCGTTCACTTCGCTGGCACTTGACCTATCGGACCGCAAGGAGAAGGCGGGAGGATATTCACCTACTCGTGTTCGATTCCTAAGTACGACAAGCTCTTGTAAGGGGCGGACATATGTAAATGAAGACTATTGTCGCGATTTAGTCGAGTCATTTCGTCAGGCATTCGAGTCAAGGTGGGATATTGAGTGGAAGATTTCGTGGGTCTTACTTTCAGGCGGGATGATATTGCAATAGCGGAAGGGATCACCAGTGTATCCGGGGCGACAAGTACAAGAGGGTAAGTGATTCACTACTTGGCAGTCAGCGTTCTGACCGCACGTTCCAGGGCAAGGGTCTTGGCACTTGTTCCGAATACAAGCCCTGTTCGAGGGACAATCTGAGTTCAGAACACATTCAGGTCGGCATCCTTCGTAGGGATTTCCGATGTACTCTGGGAGACAGGAACAGCTTCCAGCGCCGTTTTGTTCCCGGCATACGGCATTGGCACCACAAGGACTGGGAATACATGGTGTTGCGTGCTCAACTGGATAATCTTGTTGTCGCACTTGGCACTGAGTGAACGGATCTCCAATATATCCTTGAACACAGACGCACATCGGGGTATGACTAACAACTCTACATTCAGCGTTTAGTCCACATGCTCCTGGACATGGATCCCGACACTTTTGATTGATGCATGCCAAATTAGATGGACATTCAGAGTTGCTCACACACTCTGGCCTACAATTTGGTGGTGATCCAATGTATCCTTGAATACATGAGCATGATGGAGAATCACCGACTGCTTGGCATTGGGAATGGGGTCCACAAGGTGAAGGCTGGCATGGATTGATGGGCTCCTGGACAATCGGGGTCTCAACTGAAAGGTTTTCAGGGTGTAAGAAAGCGAGGACACAAAATAGAGGTATCGGTTTCATACTATGGTGCAACGAATAAGCGGCATCGCGTTTGAAACGTGGGAAGGACAAAAACTACAGATGGGGGATTGTGGTTCACCACTGTGCATTTGGCACCAACGCCACATGTTCCTGGACAGGGATCCCTACATTTCTGGTTCTGACACGCCTCATTGGCGCTGCATTCAGAATTCACCACGCATTCAGGTCTGCACGTCGGAGGACTGCCAATGTATCCGGGGACACAAGAGCACACGGCCTGCCCATTTATCTCGCGGCACTGACTGTTGGGACCACAAGGCGATGGTGTGCAAGGATTCGTTACAACGGGTGCTGGAAGTGGTTCGAGGAAATAAAGAGTTACAAATAGGCCTAGAGACATTAGGGGTGTTTTCATTACTTGGCTCTCGACGACACTGCACAAATGCATTGCCAACCATTCCAGCGGGACAGGTACACATGGGGAAACGTGATTTATGGACCCTCGCAGATGGCCGTCCAAAGCCGGCAAGTTCCGGGACAGGGTCGGCGCATTTGCTACGAAGGACACGCCTGTTCCTCGGTGCAATCCGAGTCAAGACGCACTCAGGATCGGCATCACTCTGTACGGATAACACTGTATTCGGAAGGCACGTGCAAATGCCATCGCAGGGCACTGGCATTCGGTCCACATGGGGATGGATTGCAGGGGTCATCGAGGACGGGTTCTCTCGCTGGAAAGAGGGCAGCGTTTGAAGGCAAGGTAGGAGAATTGGGAGAAGTCGTTGGCTTACGTGGAGGTGGGGCGGGGAAACAGTTTGAGAAGGGATCTCCGGTGTATCCTTCCGGACACACACAAATCGGCGTATGATTAATTACAGAGCATCGGGCGCCAACGCCACATGATCCAGGGCAAGGATCCCGACACTTTTCACGGATGCACGCCAGACTGCTCTGGCATTCTGCATTAATTGTGCACTCGGGTCGGCAATTTGGAGGAGATCCGATGTAGGTGGCTAAACAGGAACACGAAGGTGATCCATTGATGTCGCGACATTGAGAATTGGGGCCACAAGGTGAGGGATTGCAGGGGTCACGATACTCTTCTCGGACTGGTTCTTGAGGGGGAGCTACAAAAATCACTACAATTAGGGACGAAAATCCAAATGAACAAGAGAGGGTGAATCTTACGAGGAATGGGGTAGCATCTGCTGAAAGGATCCCCGGTGTAACCCGATTGGCATGTGCAAATGGGACTGTGGTTGTTAACTCGGCAATTGGCATTTGTACCACAGGTTCCCGGGCAAGGATCGACGCATTTCTGATTTACACACGCCTTGTCGAGAGGACACTCGGAGCTCACAACGCATTCGGGCCTACAACCCGGCGGACTTCCCACATAAGTGGGCAGACATGAGCATACCGCTTGTCCGTTCACTTCGCGGCACTGACTATTCGGACCGCAAGGAGACGGCTGGCAAGGATTCACATACTCGTGTTCGATCCCTAAAGTACAGAAAGCATCTTGGTAAGGGGAGGACATATGTAAATGAATGAATATTGTCGATTAGTCGAGTCATTCGTCATGTGAATTTGAGTCAAGGTATTGAGTGGGAAGATGTCGTGGGTCTTACTTTCAGGCGGGATGATATTGCAATAGCGGAAGGGATCACCAGTGTATCCGGGGCGACAAGTACAAGAGGGTAAGTGATTCACTACTTGGCAGTCAGCGTTCTGACCGCACGTTCCAGGGCAAAGGGTCTGGCACTTGTCCGAATACAAGCCATGTTAGAGGGACAATCTGAGTCAGAACACATCCAGTCGGCATCCTTCGTAGGGGTTTCCGATGTACTCTGGGAGACAGGAACAGCTTCCAGCGCCGTTTTGTTCCCGGCATACGGCATTGGCACCACAAGGACTGGGAATACATGGTGTTGCGTGCTCAACTGGATAATCTTGTTGTCGCACTTGGCACTGAGTGAACGGATCTCCAGTATATCCCTCAACACAGATACACATCGGGGCATGACTAACAACTCTACATTCAGCGTTTAGTCCACATGCTCCTGGACATGGATCCCGACACTTTTGATTGATACATGCCAAATTAGATGGACATTCAGAGTTGCTCACACACTCTGGCCTACAATTTGGTGGTGATCCAATGTATCCTTGAATACATGAGCATGATGGAGAATCACCGACTGCTTGGCATTGGGAATGGGGTCCACAAGGTGAAGGCTGGCATGGATTGATGGGCTCCTGGACAATCGGGGTCTCAACTGAAAGGTTTTCAGGGTGTAAGACAAGCGAGGACACAAATAGAGGTATCGGTTCATACTTATTGGCTGGCAACGAATAAACGGATCTCCGGTGAAACGTGGAGGACAACTACAGATGGGATTGTGGTTCACCACTGTGCATTTGGCACCAACGCCACATGTTCCTGGACAGGGATCCCTACATTTCTGGTTCTGACACGCCTCATTGGCGCTGCATTCAGAATTCACCACGCATTCAGGTCTGCACGTCGGAGGACTGCCAATGTATCCGGGGACACAAGAGCACACGGCCTGCCCATTTATCTCGCGGCACTGACTGTTGGGACCACAAGGCGATGGTGTGCAAGGATTCGTTACAACGGGTGCTGGAAGTGGTTCGAGGAAATAAAGAGTTACAAATAGGCCTAGAGACATTAGGGGTGTTTTCATTACTTGGCTCTCGACGACACTGCACAAATGCATTGCCAACCATTCCAGAGGGACAGGTACACATGGGAACGTGATTTATGACATCGAAGATGGCGGTCCAAGCCGCAAGTTCCGGGACAGGGATCGGCGCATTTGCTACGAAGACACGCCTTGTTCCTCGGGCAATCCGAGTTCAAGACGCACTCAGGTCGGCATCCTCTGTACGGATCACCCTGGTATTCTGGAAGGCACGTGCAAATGCCATCGCGGCACTGAGCATTCGGTCCACATGGGGATGGATTGCAGGGGTCATCGAGGACGGGTTCTCTCGCTGGAAAGAGGGCAGCGTTTAAAGGCAAGGTAGGAGAATTGGGAGAAGTCGTTGGCTTACGTGGAGGTGGGGCGGGGAAACAGTTTGAGAAGGGATCTCCGGTGTATCCTTCCGGACACACACAAATCGGCGTATGATTAATTACAGAGCATCGGGCGCCAACGCCACATGATCCAGGGCAAGGATCCCGACACTTTTCACGGATGCATGCCAAACTGCTCTGGCATTCTGCATTAATTGTGCACTCGGGTCGGCAATTTGGAGGAGATCCGATGTAGGTGGCTAAACAGGAACACGAAGGTGATCCATTGATGTCGCGACATTGAGAATTGGGGCCACAAGGTGAGGGATTGCAGGGGTCACGATACTCTTCTCGGACTGGTTCTTGAGGGGGAGCTACAAAAATCACTACAATTAGGGACGAAAATCCAAATGAACAAGAGAGGGTGAATCTTACGAGGAATGGGGTAGCATCTGCTGAAAGGATCCCCGGTGTAACCCGATGGCATGTGCAAATGGGGACGTGGTTGTTAAACTCGCCCCGCAATTGGCATTGGACCACAGGTTCACTGGGCAAGGATCGACGGCATTCTGATTTACACCACGCCTTGTCGAGAGGACACTCGGAGCTCACAACGCATTCGGGCCTACAACCCGGCGGACTTCCCACATAAGTGGGCAGACATGAGCATACCGCTTGTCCGTTCACTTCGCGGCACTGACTATTCGGACCGCAAGGAGACGGCTGGCAAGGATTCACATACTCGTGTTCGATTCCTAAAGTACAGAAAGCATCTTGGTAAGGGGAGGACATTTGTAAATGAATGAATATTGTCGATGAGTCGAGTCATTCGTCATGTGAATTTGAGTCAAGGTATTGAGTGGGAAGATGTCGTGGGTCTTACTTTCAGGCGGGATGATATTGCAATAGCGGAAGGGATCACCAGTGTATCCGGGGCGACAAGTACAAGAGGGTAAGTGATTCACTACTTGGCAGTCAGCGTTCTGACCGCACGTTCCAGGGCAAGGGTCTTGGCACTTGTTCCGAATACAAGCCCTGTTCGAGGGACAATCTGAGTTCAGAACACATTCAGGTCGGCATCCTTCGTAGGGGTTTCCGATGTACTCTGGGAGACAGGAACAGCTTCCAGCGCCGTTTTGTTCCCGGCATACGGCATTGGCACCACAAGGACTGGGAATACATGGTGTTGCGTGCTCAACTGGATAATCTTGTTGTCGCACTTGGCACTGAGTGAACGGATCTCCAGTATATCCCTCAACACAGATACACATCGGGGCATAACTAACAACTCTACATTCAGCGTTTAGTCCACATGCTCCTGGACATGGATCCCGACACTTTTGATTGATGCATGCCAAATTAGATGGACATTCAGAGTTGCTCACACACTCTGGCCTACAATTTGGTGGTGATCCAATGTATCCTTGAATACATGAGCATGATGGAGAATCACCGACTGCTTGGCATTGGGAATGGGGTCCACAAGGTGAAGGCTGGCATGGATTGATGGGCTCCTGGACAATCGGGGTCTCAACTGAAAGGTTTTCAGGGTGTAAGACAAGCGAGGACACAAATAGAGGTATCGGTTCATACTTATTGGCTGGCAACGAATAAGCGGATCTCCGGTGAAACGTGGAGGACAACTACAGATGGGATTGTGGTTCACCACTGTGCATTTGGCACCAACGCCACATGTTCCTGGACAGGGATCCCTACATTTCTGGTTCTGACACGCCTCATTGGCGCTGCATTCAGAATTCACCACGCATTCAGGTCTGCACGTTGGAGGACTGCCAATGTATCCGGGGACACAAGAGCACACGGCCTGCCCATTTATCTCGCGGCATTGACTGTTGGGACCACAAGGCGATGGTGTGCAAGGATTCGTTACAACGGGTGCTGGAAGTGGTTCGAGGAAATAAAGAGTTACAAATAGGCCTAGAGACATTAGGGGTGTTTTCATTACTTGGCTCTCGACGACACTGCACAAATGCATTGCCAACCATTCCAGCGGGACAGGTACACATGGGAACGTGATTTATGACCTCGCAGATGGCGTCCAAGCCGCAAGTTCCGGGACAGGGATCGGCGCATTTGCTACGAAGACACGCCTTGTTCCTCGGGCAATCCGAGTTCAAGACGCACTCAGGTCGGCATCCTCTGTACGGATCACCCTGGTATTCTGGAAGGCACGTGCAAATGCCATCGCGGCACTGAGCATTCGGTCCACATGGGGATGGATTGCAGGGGTCATCGAGGACGGGTTCTCTCGCTGGAAAGAGGGCAGCGTTTGAAGGCAAGGTAGGAGAATTGGGAGAAGTCGTTGGCTTACGTGGAGGTGGGGCGGGGAAACAGTTTGAGAAGGGATCTCCGGTATATCCTTCCGGACACACACAAATCGGCGTATGATTAATTACAGAACATCGGGCGCCAACGCCACATGATCCAGGGCAAGGATCCCGACACTTTTCACGGATGCACGCCAGACTGCTCTGGCATTCTGCATTAATTGTGCACTCGGGTCGGCAATTTGGAGGAGATCCGATGTAGGTGGCTAAACAGGAACACGAAGGTGATCCATTGATGTCGCGACATTGAGAATTGGGGCCACAAGGTGAGGGATTGCAGGGGTCACGATACTCTTCTCGGACTGGTTCTTGAGGGGGAGCTACAAAAATCACTACAATTAGGGACGAAAATCCAAATGAACAAGAGAGGGTGAATCTTACGAGGAATGGGGTAGCATCTGCTGAAAGGATCCCCGGTGTAACCCGATTGGCATGTGCAAATGGGACTGTGGTTGTTAACTCGGCAATTGGCATTTGTACCACAGGTTCCCGGGCAAGGATCGACGCATTTCTGATTTACACACGCCTTGTCGAGAGGACACTCGGAGCTCACAACGCATTCGGGCCTACAACCCGGCGGACTTCCCACATAAGTGGGCAGACATGAGCATCCCGCTTGTCCGTTCACTTCGCGGCACTGACTATTCGGACCGCAAGGAGACGGCTGGCAAGGATTCACATACTCGTGTTCGATCCCTAAAGTACAGAAAGCATCTTGGTAAGGGGAGGACATTTGTAAATGAATGAATATTGTCGATGAGTCGAGTCATTCGTCATGTGAATTTGAGTCGAGGTATTGAGTGGAAAGATGTCGTGGGTCTTACTTTCAGGTGGGATGATATTGCAATAGCGGAAGGGATCGCCAGTGTATCCGGGGCGACAAGTACAAGAGGGTAAGTGATTCACTACTTGGCAGTCAGCGTTCTGACCGCACGTTCCAGGGCAAGGGTCTTGGCACTTGTTCCGAATACAAGCCCTGTTCGAGGGACAATCTGAGTTCAGAACACATTCAGGTCGGCATCCTTCGTAGGGGTTTCCGATGTACTCTGGGAGACAGGAACAGCTTCCAGCGCCGTTTTGTTCCCGGCATACGGCATTGGCACCACAAGGACTAGGGTGGCAGGGGTTTATCACTTCCTTTGGATATTCCACTGAAAGATTCGGGATGTGGATTTTAATTTCAGGATTTCGGGTTTTACTCGATATTCCACTTTTGCGTCTGAAAGCGATTGCGTAGCTAATTCAGATCGTTTGGGTTATTCCAAAAGAGGTTAGGGCTTGTGGATAGGGGTTTTCAGAAGCGTTTCCTGTAACCATGTTTCGTTTTTGTTGTAGATATCTGAATTTTCTTTCATTTAATCCAAACGGCATTGAGAATTGCGTATGGGTGTTATACAGATTTTTGGTTTTTTCTTAGATTTTTGGGCGGATAAAATTTAGATTTTGAAGGCTGAATATTGGCAATTAATGTTTTGTCTTAGAAAACATTATAAAGCTGAGTTTAATGCTTTTAAGCTGCATAAAATTTGTAAGAGAAAATTGCCTACCTTGTCTGAGAATGCAGCCGGAGAAGGGGTCACCTGTGTATCCAGTTTCACACGTACAGATGGGCGTATGGTTGATTACTGAGCACTTAGCATTGTTTCCGCAAGAACCAGGGCATGGATCTGCACAGCGTTGATTCATGCAGGCTTTAGTTGAAGGACACTCTGGATTAATTGTACACTCTGGGCGACAGCCTGGTGGTGTTCCTATATAGTTTGGCAGGCAAGAGCAAGCAGGTGTTCCAGCAGCATCGCGACATTCAGCATTTGGTCCACATGGTGATGGTATGCACACGTTAATTGGCTCTGGTGGCAATCTCGGAATTTCATAGCACCGCGAGAATGGATCACCAGTATATCCGGGACTGCACGAGCATATTGGATTGTGATTGATCACTTGACACTTCGCATTCTGGCCACACGTTCCTGGACATGGGTCTTGGCACTTATTGTTGAGACATGCTTGTTGCAGTGCACATTCCGCACTAACCACACATTCTGGTCGGCAACTTGGTGGTGAACCGACCATTCGTGGTTGGCAAGCGCAAACAGCAGCACCGTTGGCTTCTCGACAAATTGCATTAGGTCCACATGGAGATGGATTACACGGATTGATTGGCTCTTGAACGATTGGGACTTGCCGGCAGAGCACAAATGGATCTCCTCGGAAGCCGGGTGGACAGCTACATGTTGGAATGTGATTGTACACTTCACACTTAGCGTCTTGACCACAAGTACCAGGACAGGGATCAATACATTTAGTATTAACACACGCTTTGTTTGGTGAACAATCAGTGTTCATTGTGCACTCTGGGCGACAACCTGTGTATGGGTCTCCAAAGTAGTTAGGCAGACATGAGCATACTCCATCGCGGCAGGCAGTATTAGAGCCACATGGTGAAGGATCGCAAGGATCCGGCGATGGTGTAACTGGTGGAGTGCGCTCAATGATTTGCGTACACTGAGTGAAAGGATCTCCAGTGAAACCAGGTATGCAAGTGCAAATGGGTATGTGATTCTGTACGCGGCACTCGGTGTTAAATCCACATGATCCTTGGCAAGGATCGCGACATTTTTCGGCAATGCAGGCTCTGCTGGATGGACAATCAGTGTTGACGACACATTCGGGTCGGCAGTTTGGTGGAGATCCAACATAAGTGGGTTTACAAGAACAAACAGGTGATCCCTGAATGGCTTGACAGTCTGCATACAGACCGCATGGCGATGGGTTGCAGGGATCAACAGGTCTTGGTTGTGGTGGTGGCTCTTGTTTGATAATCGGAGAACACCTTGTGAAGGGATCACCAGTCATATCGGATGGGCAGCTGCAGATAGGGTTGTGATTTATGACTTCGCATCTGGCATTGAACCCACACGTTCCATGGCATGGGTTGGCACATTTGAATTTATGGCACGCTTTGTTGGATGGACACTCTGCGTTCACTGTACACTCCGGACGACAGTTAGGTGGTGATCCCACATACTCAGCTTGACATGAGCACACCGCCACTCCATTAGACACTCGACACTTGGCATTCGGACCACACGGCGAAGGATTGCATGGATCCAAGGGTTGAATTGTAACAGGCTCTGCTGGCCGAAGGTTGCATCGTGTGAAAGGATCTCCAATGTATCCGTCGAAGCATGAACATCGTGGCACGTGGTTTATAACCTGACATTGAGCATTTTCACCACAAACTCCGGGACAAGGATCGCCGCATTTGTTTCGAATACAAGCCTTATCGGTAGGGCAATCAGAGCTGAGAACACATTCGGGACGGCATCCCTCGTAAGGATTTCCTTGGTAGTCTTCAATACACTTACATGCGCCTGCATCATTCCTCCGAATGCACTCAGCATTGGGACCACAAGGAGATGGTTCACAAGGATTGATTCTCTCCTGCTGTTGCACCACACATTGAACAAATGGATTTCCTGTATATCCTACAGCACAGGTACAGACGACAGCGTGAGAAATGACACGGCATTCAGCATTTGTTCCACATGATCCGGGACAAGGATCCACGCAATGATTGTTGATGCATGCTTGATGACTTGGACAGTCCGGATTGATGACACATTCTGGACGACAATTCGGAGGAGCACCCACGTAGCCACTGATGCATTGACATGACGGTGTTCCTCCAGCATTAGCACGACAAACAGAATTAGGACCACATGGCGAAGGATTGCAAGGATCCTGAGGAACAGGCTCCTCTTTGGGAGCTGGTGGTGGTGGCAATGGCTGGCAGCTGTTGAATGGATCGCCTGTCTGACCAGCACTGCAACTACAGATCGGACTGTGATTAATGACTTCACATCTTGCATTAACTCCACAAGCTCCTCTGCATGGATCAACACATTTTTGATTTATGCATGCTTGAATTTGAGAGCATTCACTGCTGATCACACACTCAGGACGGCACTGTGGCGGAGCTCCAATAAATCCTTGCAAGCATGAACATACTGCTTGGTCGCTGACTTGACGGCATTGACTGTTTGGTCCACAAGGTGAAGGATTGCATGGATCACGTTTAGGTTCTGGCACAATTTCTACTACTCGGCAATGACTGAAAGGATCTCCAGTGTATCCCGTTGGACAGGAGCAGATGGGAATGTGATTGACTACTTCACATTTAGCATTCTGGCCGCATGTTCCTGGACACGGATCGCGACACTTGTTCCTGAGACAAGCTTTATCGCGGCTACAATCTGAGCTAAGGACACATTCTGGGCGACATCCTTCGTATGGATTACCAACATACTCAGCAATGCAAGTACACTCTCCGTTGCTGCAGTGAGTGTTTGGACCACATGGTGATGGATTGCATGGATCAAAGACGATTGGCGTAACAGTAGTTGGTGGAATCCTGTTACATCTCACAAATGGATCACCTTCGAAGCCGTCATTGCAAGTGCAAATAGGAACATGATTGAGAACATGGCACTTCGCATCAAATCCACAAGATCCTGGACAAGGATCTTTGCACTTTTGATTTATACAGGCCAATGGGCCACTGCATTCTGAATTAAGCACACATTCAGGACGACAATTAGGTGGACTTCCGATGTAATCCTCGAGGCAAGAGCAAGCTGGATTACTTCCAATGATCTGGCACTTCGAGTTCGGCCCACAAGGTGATGGAGTGCAGGAAGGAGGTCTCTCAGTTGTGACAATTTCAGGTACGATAGCTGCAAGAAATTAGAAGAGAGAATTATAAGAACGGAAATAATAGACTTATCAAAGTATGCTTACGGATTCTCGTGCACTGAGCGAAAGGATCTCCTGTGAATCCGGACGGACAGGCACAAATGGGGTTGTGATTTCTTGTTGAGCATTGCGCCTGAATTCCACAGGTATTTGGACAAGGGTCTGCACATTTTTGATTGATACAAGCGCGGTCAGCTGGACATTCAGAGTTCACAACGCATTCCGGTCGACATTGTGGTGGTGTTCCAATGTAACTCGGTTGGCAGGAACACACAGCTTGCTCATTCACTGTTCTGCAGTTGCTATTAGGTCCACAAGGAGTAGGCACACATGGATTCTCTCTACGCCGAGGTGGCTGAGTGACTGGTTCTTCGCGACAGAGGAAGAATGGATCTCCAGTGTATCCCGGTGGACAAGTGCATACAGGGAAGTGGTTCTCAACCGTACAAATGGCATAAGTTCCACAAGTTCCAATACATGGATCAACACACTTATTCCGAGCGCAAGAGAGATGTGGAGCACAATCTTGATTTACTTCGCACTCCTGACGACATCCTTTTGTTTTATCATAAGGATTTCCTTCAAATCCCTGATGACAGAAACAAGCACCAGCCCCATTTCGTTCCCTACACTCTGCATTTGGGCCACAAGGTGACGGTATGCAAGGTGTTGGAGGAGGAGCTCGTTCAGTGGCTATAAAATTGAACAAATTATCTTAGGGTACATTTCATAGAAAGGGTAATAGAGAAATCTCACATGGAGGTAATGCAGGATTGCATTGCACAAGAGGATCTCCTTCATAGCCTTGGGTACACGTGCATACAGGATTGTGTTTTACGACACTACACAGGGCATTTCGTCCACATGAGCCTGGGCAAGGATCTACGCATCTCTCATTCACACACGCCAAATTGCTCGAGCATTCAGCATTGATGGTACACTCAGGGCGACAGTTGGGTGATCGTCCCACATAATTGGGCATGCAGGAACATGCAGCTTGATCTCCAATTACCCTACACTGACTATTTGGTCCACATGGTGAAGGAACACAAGGATTGCCAGAGTCTCTCGCTGGGGGTGGTACTGAAATATTAATGATTGAGGTGTTAAGTTTTCTGCGCTTGAGGATATAGGGATCATGCTCACATTCAAATGGAGAACATCGTACAAATGGATCGCCAGTGTAACCCTTAGCACAACTGCAGATCGGACTGTGATTCACAACCTGGCACTTGGCATTTACACCACAAGTGCCCGGGCATGGATCGACGCATTTCTGATTAACGCAGGCCTTATCTTGTGTACATTCAGAACTAACTACACATTCTGGTCGGCAGTTGGGTGGCGATCCACGGAAATTAGGTTGACATGAACACACAGCATGATCGTTCACTTCACGACACACACTATTTGGACCACATGGTGAGGGTTGGCAGGGGTTTGTAGGCGGTGGGGCTGTTACTACATTGGCAAAGAAATTAGGTAAACAATTGAGATATTTGAGATTGGTAATAAGGAAATTACCTGGTTCAATGATTCTGCAGACTGTTGAAGGATCTCCAGTGTAGCCAGGAATACAGAGACAAGTGGGAGCATGGTTGTGAACCTGACACTCCGCATTGACTCCGCAAACTCCTGGACATGGATCCCGACATTTGTTGTTAATGCATGCTCTCGATCGATCACAATCTGAATTTTGAACACACTCTGGACGGCATCCACTGTACGGATCACCATAGTATTCAGGAAGACAGGAGCAACTTCCAGCACCATTTCTTTCCTTGCACACAGCATTTGCGCCACATGGTGATGGGTTGCACGGATTTCGCACCTCCGGAACGGGTTGAGCTGTCAAGAAAGAATATTCATTTAATGAAAATATCCAATACATATTTTATTGATTCCTAAAAAAAAAGATGTAAATCGGATAATGTCTTACATCTTGGTATTTCTGTACAAATGGCAAATGGATCGCCAGTAAATCCTATATCACACTGACATACGGGATTGTGACTAACAACAGTGCAGCGAGCATTGAGTCCACATGAACCAATGCATGGATCTTTGCACTTCTCATTGATGCACGCCAACATGGGTGAACATTCGGCATTAATTGTACATTCTGGCCGACAATTTGGCGCTTTCCCAACATAATTGGGAAGACAGGAGCACGCCGCAGTCTCACCGACGGCACGACATTGACTGTTTGGTCCGCAAGGAGAAGGTACACAGGGATCGGCAGTGGGTATCACAACAGGGCGTTCTAGATAGTGTTTTATACATATTTACAGAATGCACAGAGATACACATAGTAGAGCATAGAAAGAGAAAAACACAAAAATAAAAGAGATATAAAAAGAGACATGCAACACATAATCACAATATGTACAAAAAATATTTACAAACTAAAAAGTAATGTACAAATAATGAGTTAACTACAAGGTCAATATTAATATTGACGAACTACAGTTTGTAAGATGACTTGTGAAAAGTAAATAGATAGAATAACATGCTTACTCTCTTCCTGAACACACCGCACAAAGGGATCACCCACATATCCAGGCGAGCAAGAGCATATTGGATTGTGGTTGATCACCATGCAGTGTGCACCAACACCACAAGTTCCCGGGCATGGATCAACGCATCTCTGATTAATGCATGCCTTGTCCTGAGCACACTCTGAACTTATCATGCATTCAGGACGACAATTTGGCGGGACACCGATATAGTTCGTTTGGCAGGAGCAAACAGCATGACCATTGATTTCTCTACATTGACTGTTGGGTCCACAGGGTGAGGGTACGCACGGATTAACCGGATCAAGTTGTTCTGAATAGTGTATTGGACATAGAAAGAGTTAGTTTTAAGATCAATATCACTGCAAGAAAGTGTCCTTACTGGGTGGCGGTGGAGGTTCATGGCAAGAGGTCAAGGGATTTCCAGTAAATCCAGGAAGACAGACACAACTGGGAGCATGATTGACCACACGACATTCAGCATTAAGTCCACAAACTCCAGGGCAGGGGTCTCGACATTTCTGATTGAGACAGGCTTTGTCGCGGGCACAATCGTTATTTGTGACACATTCTGGACGACAACCACTGTAAGGATCGCCAAAGTAATCGGGCAGGCAAGTGCATGATCCAGCCCCGTTGCGTTCTTTGCATACAGCATTTGCACCGCAAGGTGAGGGACTACAGGGATTGCGTGGTTCTTCAGTGGGAGGAGTTACTGGAATTTTTGAAGACATTCATGAAATCACAGTCGAGAACTTATGTACTCGCAGTCATCTTACTCGGAATAGGTTGGCAACCAGAGAACGGATCACCCGTGAATCCTGCTTGACATGTGCAAACAGGTGAGTGTTTAAGCACACTGCAGAGAGCATTGAAACCACACGATCCGGGACAAGGATCTTTACATCTCTCGTTGACACAAGCCAGATTTGCCGCGCAATCGGCGTTCAAGACACATTCAGGCCGACATTGCGGTGCTCGTCCAATGTAGTTAGGTAAACATGTACAAACTGGAGTACTTCCAACAGTGCGGCATTGGGAATATGGACCACATGGTGTAGGAACGCAAGGATTTACTGGTTCGATAGGTGTTGGTCGTCCTGAAAATCACATAACGTGGTTCATAAAAGATCTAACAGAGGATTTTTGTAGAAATTACTTTCTTCTGGAACACACTGGACAAATGGATCACCAGTCGATCCCGGCGGACAACTGCAGATGGGATTATGATTTGTAACTTGACACCTGGCGTGAACGCCACAAGTTCCTGGACAAGGATCCACACACTTGAGATTGATACAGGATTTGTCTTGACTACACTCTGAGCTGACGGTGCATTCAGGTCGGCAAGCTGGTGGAGCTCCTATGTAATTCTTCTGGCAGGAGCAAACTGCGTGATCATTCACTTCGCGACACTCACTGTAAGGTCCACAAGGAGATGGACGACAAGGATATACAGGGACTGGTGGTTCGGCAACTAAATAGATTGGAAAGGGCTTAGCAACTATATATCCAAAGAAAAGGAAGTTCAGATTAATTACTTCGTGGAATTTCATGGCAGGATAATGATGGATTGCCAGTGTACCCTGGAAGACACATGCAAGTGGGAGCATGATTGATGACACTACATTCAGCATTGAGACCACAAACTCCTGGACATGGATCTCTGCATTTTTGATTGACGCAAGCTCGATTCTTGGCGCAGTCAGCGTTCAGAACACACTCCGGTCGACATTCAACATAGGGATCACCAAAGTATTCAGGAATACATGAACAACTTCCAGCTCCGTTTCGTTCTTGGCAGATAGCATTGATGCCACAGGGCGACGGTGAACAAGGCATTAGGATCTCAGGCTCACGAATCACAGCAATTGGGGAACATCCCGAGAAGGGATCACCAGAGTATTGTTCCAGACATCGGCAGATTGGACGATGTTTAATTGTTGTGCAGGTAGCAAAGTTTCCACAAGAACCAGGGCAAGGATCTTTGCATCGCTCATTGACACATGCCAAATAGCCTGGGCATTCGGAATTACTGGTACATTCAGGACGACAATTGGGCGCTCTACCAAGATAATTGGGAAGACATGTACAGACTGGTGAAGTATCCACAGCACGACATTGAGAATTGGGTCCACATGGAGAGGGTACGCAAGGATCTCTGGCCAGGTCCGTCACCACAGGTCGTCCTAGAGATTATTTTAGTGCACAATTTGTACAGTGATGAAATAGTGAGAGAAAGAGAGAGAAAATCATGCGTAAGATTACATATTTTATACATAGCTAAAGTTGTAATAAAGTAGATTAGGAAATATTTACAAAGAAAATATACAAGAGAAGGATTCTTACTCTCTTCCGGGGAACAGCTTACAAAAGGATCGCCTGTGTAACCACTTGGGCAACTGCATATCGGATTATGTACAATGACCTGGCATCGAGCGTGAACGCCACAAGTGCCGGGACATGGGTCCTTGCACTTTTCATTAATACATGCGCGATCTTGGCCACATTCTGAACTAACAACGCACTCTGGCCGACAATTCGGTGGGCTACCCACATAATTCGATATGCAAGAGCACACAGCATGGTTATTCACCACACGGCAATTACTATTGGCACCACAGGGGCTCGGTACACATGGATTTACAGGTACAGGCACATCCCGAACTGTTCACAGAACGCCCCAACACATAACATAGTAAGGAAGGAGAAAGATATAATACATAGTATAAGATACAATATGTACAAAGTATACAAAGAGATATTGGAATTCCTAAGAGAAAGTCATGGATTGTAGTACAAATGTTCACACAGGGCATCCTGAATGAATCCATGCTTTTCTCCCGGGGGAAAAGTAAAGAATAGAAAGATAAATCTTACTTGGAGGTGGTAAATTGCATGCACTGAGAGCATTCCCAATGTATCCGGGGAAACATGTACAAGTCGGCGAGTGATTGATCACTCGACATTCGGCATTTATTCCGCATGTTCCTGGACAAGGATCGACACATTTGTTGTTCACGCATGCCCTATTTCTAGGGCAGTCAGTATTGAGAACACATTCTGGTCGACACTCAATGTAGGGATTCCCGGTGTACTCAGGAATACATGAGCATGATCCTGCACCATTCCGCTCCTTGCACACAGCATTGATACCACATGGTGATGGTGTACATGGAGTACGAACTTCTTCTTTGACTGAAAATTTATACATCATGCTTTATACAGAGATAAGATAACTCAGAGAATTAAGTGCTTTAGTGCTTAATTTTCTCTGAGTTTAAAGATAGACGATATTTACAAAAATCACCAGAATAAAAATGAAAATGTACAAAATGTTAGCACAATTTGGAATAAATACAACAAATAAAGCTAGTATTAGTTACATAGAAATCTAAAGAATTCTTACTCGATACTACAACCCTCGTGCATCCTGAGAAAGGATCCCCGGTATGTCCATCAACACACATGCAAATGGGTGAGTGGGAAACGACACGACATTCAGCATTGAAACCACATGATCCAACGCACGGGTCACGGCATTTCTCATTAATGCAGGCTAAAACCGGAGGACATTCGGAATTGGTCACGCACTCAGGTCGACAACTTGGGGGGCGACCCACATAGTTTGCAACACATGAGCACACGGCCCGAGAGTCCACGTTTTTGCATACAGAGTTTGGTCCACAAGGAGTAGGAATACATGGATTTTCATTTATCACGGCAATCGGTTTTCCTAAGAGATTGAAAGACAATTATGAGGTGATTCTCTGACGACCGATTAATCTTATATTGTGATTTCTTACTCTCTTCCGGCACGCATTGCACGAAAGGATCGCCATTATATCCAGGTGGACAAGAGCAAATGGGATTGTGATTCGTGACACGACATCTCGCATGAATACCACAAGTTCCAGGACATGGGTCGATACATCTCTGATTCACGCATGATTTTTCGAATCCACATTCAGAAGTAATTACGCATTCTGGCTTGCAATTAGGTGGTGCTCCCAGGTAATTGGGCAGACAAGAGCAAATTGCGCGATTGTTAATATCACGGCATGTACTGAAAAGTCCGCATGGGGATGGCGTGCAAGGATTCTGAGGTTCGTGAACAACAACTAAGGGAAATTAAAAACCGATTAACCGACTTTCAATATATGATTTCAACGTTGTCTTACTGGCTGTTGGGATGATGTGGCACAATTGTAGAGGATTTCCCGTGTATCCTGGTGTGCATGTGCATATGGGATAGTGATTTGTGACGCGACATTCGGCGTTCACTCCACACGTGCCAATGCATGGATCGACGCATTTACGATTCATGCAACTCTTGTCGTGGGCACAATCGGAGTTTTGCATACACTCTGGTCGACAATTTATATAGGGATCACCAAAGTATTCAGGCATGCAAACACAAGAACCAGCACCATTGCGCTCTTTGCACAAAGCATTTGATCCACATGGCGAGGGATTGCAGGGGTTCACCACTTCAATGATTTGAACTACAAACACAGGACAATTATGAGTGGTGCTTTTTGGAGACAACACATCACATTTAGGAGACATCACAAAACAAATATATATATAACGAAACATAAAAGGGTAAAAGATAAAAATGACACCTACCTTGTCTGGGATTGCAGCCGGCATAGGGATCGCCTTCGTAGCTATCGAAACACGTGCACATCGGCTGATGATTCTGCGTTGTGCACTGGGCGTTGAAGCCACAGGAACCAATGCAAGGATCTCGGCACTTCTGATTAACACAAGCCCTGTTGGATGGGCAATCCTGGTGGATAACACACTCTGGTCGGCAGTTTGGCGGTGTTCCGAGCATGTCTGGCAAGCAACTGCAAACAGCTCGGTTGTCGATTTCACGGCACTCAGCATTAGAGCCACAAGGACTCGGCAGACATGGATTGACTTGTTTAGGCGGTACCATCACTTCAGGTTTCACTGTACACTGTTCAAATGGATCTCCAATATAACCACTAGGACAACTGCAAATGGGATTGTGATTGACCACTTGGCATCGAGCATTGAAGCCACACGTTCCTGGGCAAGGATCCTTGCATTTCTGTCCAATACAGGCTTGATGCTGACTACATTCTGAGCTAACGATACACTCAGGTCGGCAAGATGGAGGCACGCCGAAGTATCCAATCTGGCAAGAGCAAATTGGCCTTCCATCCACTACGCGACACACACTATTAGGTCCACACGGAGATGGTTCACAAGGATTCAGCGGTTCAGGTGGTGGTGCAATAGGTTCAGCGCGGCAGCCAGAGAATGGATCTCCGCGATAGCCTCGAGCACAAGTGCATACTGGAATATGATTAACTACGGCACACTCGGCGTTGGATCCACAAACTCCAGGGCACGGATCTCGGCAGTGTTGTTTGATGCAAGCCAAATGGCTAGGACAGTCAGAATTGAAGACACACTCTGGACGACATCCTGAAGTGTAGGGATCACCAATATACGGTGGGATACAGGAACATCTAGCAACACCATTCCTCTCAGTACACTGAGCATTTTCCCCACAAGGTGATGGATTACAGGGATCATGATGAGCTAGAGGTTCAGGAATCTTTGAGCATCCCACAAAAGCATCGCCTTGATATCCCTTAAGGCAATTACAGAATGCTGAGTGTGCAATTACACTACATTGAGCATTGACTCCGCAAACATTGTCACATGGGTTGCGGCACTTCTCCTTGATGCATGCTTTGTCCTGGGGACATTCTTCGCTTACAACACACTCCGGGCGACAGAACGGAGGGCTTCCAATGTAAGTCACTGCACATGAGCAAACAGGTCGGTGATCTCGAACCTGACAGATGGAATTTGGTCCACACGGTGAAGGCACGCAAGGATTTTCTGGAACAATTGGTATGACACCCTTTTCTTCTGGATATTGGCAAGAAACGAAGGGATCTCCCTCTTGTCCTGAAGGACAACTGCAGATGGGGTTGTGATTAAAGACTTCACAGAAAGCATTAATTCCACAAGTTCCTGGACATGGATCCACACACTTTTGGTTTAAGCAAGCCCTGTTTTGAGCACAATCAGCACTGATCAAGCACTCTGGTTGGCAAGCTGGAGGAGCTCCCTTGTATCCTGGCAGACAAGAGCAGATAGCGTAACCATCAGGAGATACCAGACAGCGACTGTTGAGGCCACATGGTGTAGGATCGCATGGGTTGATTGGAACTATTGGTGTGATTTGTCTGTGTTCTGAACATAATACTTGAGCGTTTCCAGTAAATCCTTGAGGACAGTAACACACTGGGAAATGATTAACGGTCTGACATTGTGCATTGAGTCCACAAGCTCCTTTGCAAGGATCCACGCATTTCCCATTAACACATGCCAAATCTGGTCTGCAGTCTGGATTAACAACGCACTCTGGATGACAACCAAGAAGAGGATCGCCAAAGTATCCTTTGCGGCATACGCAAGCCAAGACTCCTCCTTGTTGGCGACATTCAGCATTGGCGCCACATCGAACAGTTGCACAAGATTCGACTCTATCATGGACGATAATGGATGGTGTTGAGCAATGTTCGAAGGGATTTCCAAAGAGTCCTTGAGGACAGTGACAAATCGGGTTATGATAAACCACAGTACATACAGCTTGGTGTCCACAAGACCCTGGACAAGGATCAAGACATTTCTGTCCCAAACATGCCAAGTTGAATGGACAATCCGCGTTGGATAAACATTCTGGCCGGCACTGAGGGTAGTTGTAAGCATGTGGAGATGCACACGGATCACAAATGGCAACATCATTTCCATAAACAGAACAGAACATATTTCCACTGCAAGGATCTGATGCACAAGGCTGCTTAGGCTCGGTTACTGGTGGCAAGAGGACGCACTGGAAGTATGGATCTCCAATGTACCCATTCGGACATTGGCATACAGGCGTGTGATTCTCCATACGACACTCTCCACCAATTCCACAAACTCGGCCTTCGCACGGGCTTACGCATTTTCTATTCATACACGCTCTATCTGATGGACAGTCTGAATTAATGGTGCATTCTGGTCGACATCCCAATTTAGGATCGCCAATGTATGTTGGCAAACATGAGCAAATGGCACGGTTGCCACTGACCTTGCATCCAGTGTTCAGCCCGCAAGGCGATGGAGTGCATGGCGAGGGTCTAGGAGCGGGAGATTTTTCCGGAAGAACATAGCATCGAGTAAGAGGGTTTCCTGTGAGTCCAGGATTACAGAAACAGACAGGATGATGTTTCTCCACTCGACAATGAGCTCCAAAACCACACGATCCTGGGCACGGATCTCGACACCGGAATCCAATACAAGCTTTATCATATGGACATTCATCATCCACCTGACATTCGTAGCCTCTGCAACCAGTAATACTTGTTGGATCACCTCCAATGCCATCAGGGCATCGACACATACTGTGTCCCTCTGGAGTGATAATGCACTGTGCTCCAGGTCCGCAGGGATTGGGTTCGCAGGCAGATCTTGGAATTTCTCGACATCCACTGTAAGGATCTCCAATGAATCCTGGTCGGCAGTAGCATTCCTCTCGGCTATTAGCCACATAGCAGTCAGCATTGCGACCACATGGTCCAGGTTTGCATAATTCAGGGACGAGTATTGGTTCTATGCAGCTTCTGTAAGGATTACCGACCGTTCTTTCAGGACAGTAGCAAACAGGATTACGTGAAGAGTCACACACAGCTCCCAGTCCGCAAGGATTGGGATCGCATGGATTCTTTGGCTCCACACAGCCTCTGATTGTGTTGGGACTCTCAATAAATCCTGCCAAACAAGTGCATTTTGCAAATCCATTTGATAAAATTGAGCATTGCGTGTTAGGTCCGCATGGTGATGGATCACAGGGATTTTGAGGTAGGATGCATGGCCGCTCTGGTGGATAGCCTTCATATTCCGGCAGGCAGAAGCATATTGGTTGTTGACTGACAACGCGGCATCCACTGTTAGGGCCACATGGATTGGGAATGCACTCATTACCTTCAGGAACTGAAAAAAAATCATAGTTTGGTATACGAAATTAAGATTATTTCGAGATTAAAAACTCTGAATTCAAACTTACTGCAATTTTTGAATGGATTTCCAGTGAGTCCTTTCGGGCAGAAACAGATGGGATTTCCTCGATCAAGTTCACACAGAGCATTGAGTCCGCATGGGTTTGGCTCGCAGGGATTCTGTGGCGGTTGACAGCCAATCAACGGATCTCCTGTGTAACCCACAGGACACTTGCAGAACGCCTGATGATTGATCACGTCGCAGATTGCGTAGACTCCACACTGACATGGCGAAACACATTGTCCGTTGACACAAGCCTCATATTGATTACACTCAGCATCAGATCTACAGCCGAGGATTCTGGAACATTCCACGTAAGGATTCCCTACGTACTCATCCCAGCATCGACACTCAATGGCGTGATTAGTTGGGAAGCACTCAGCGTTCTCTCCACATGAATCTTCAAGGCATGGATTGATACAGCGTCGATTAAGTCGGTCGCAATATTTGTCTGGCGGACAATCTTCATTGTACTGACAAACATTCACGTTATCGATGACTGTAAGAAAGGAGGAATTAGCCTGTGGAAGTAATTTAAGTTGTAATATTCGTGAATCTAACCTGGAACACAACCAACATATCCGTTGCCCTGATAGTGTTCGGGACAGCTGCAGTCTAATCCATGGTTTGTGTTGATGCAAATAGCACCTGAGGCGCATGGGTTGTGCACATCACAAGGATGCTGGCACATGCCCGCTATACAAGCTTCTGTCAAGGGACAATCCTCATTTTGTGTGCATTTGACTGTGCGATAAAAGAGAAAGGAAGAGTGTCTTTTGTGATATTTACAATAGATATTTTCACGTTGGTGATCACATCTTGCTCTATATATACTAATTGCAAGAAATTCAGAGATAGATCACAGTGCCTTCACACATCATGTACAAAAATTTACAAAACATATTTGTTCATTGTTGTATATTAGCATTATTGATTTTAGTCTTGTCAATTTTTGCAATTAGTAGCATTGTATGTATATTGCATATTAGGAGTGGAATGTGTTATCTTACATGGTTCCATTCGGACGCATTTTACTGCAGGATTCCCCTCATGCCCTTCAGGACACGAGCATACCGGTTTGTGCATTTTAGTGTGACACAGAGCCGTTGGTGCACAAACATCTTTGAACTCGCATGGATCATGACATAGATCCATGTAGCATACCTCACTTTCGATGCAATCATTGTCCGATTTGCATGGGCCTGGTCGTTTGGGTGTGCCTGGTGGTTCTAGTAATGGCATCAGGTGTGAGGGTTAATTCATATTAACATGGTTTCCCATGGGATCTCTAATTCCTTTCACACATTTAAAATTCAATACAAGGTAATTATAAAGAGAAAACGAAAGAATTAATTATCCCATGGTATTTTATGAACAGTATTTCTGTTAAGGCTTTTCAGAAAGGTTACTATAAAATTTGGAAAATAAATATGATATTTACATAAAGTCCGATTAAACTTATGTGCAAAATATAAGTAGGAAAAATATGTACAAAAGTTGCTTGAGCAACAATTAATTCAATACCTTTGAAACAGTTGGTGTTAGAAATTGAATCACAGAGCTTTAAGCACCGCCCGTGAATGCATATTTCGTTATTGGTGCAGTCCGCAGTTGAGCCACAATACATGGTAATATTTACAATATCAACTTTTGTGGTGTTAATCACAGATTGTGGCATTAGTGGTGCAAATGTGGTGGGAGGAATCTCAATTTCTGGACGCTTTGTGCCGAGAGAAAGTTCTTTTGGCACCGGCGTAGTTGGTGGTCGCGCCGTGTGCGTAGGTTCACTGCTATTCTCACTAACCCTTCCTGTACTTGTGGGAATTGTCGTGCTGTCAAATTCTACTTCGAGCGAAGGATCCCACCTAGTTGAGGGCCTCTTGGTACTTCCTTGTGAGGATTTTGTTGTCTTGTCTTCTTCCTTGGTAGTTACTTGGGCTTCCGGGACTTGAGTAGAGTTCTCAAACTTATACCCTTTCGTCGGCACTGTCACTTCAGTAGTTGTTTGCTCTTTAGTTTCATCGAAAGTGCTTGTTACTAGTGAATTAGTAGTACTATCAGTGCTGGTACCAATTAGAGGAGTTTTAGTAGTACTTTGCGTTACAGTTAATGTCTCAGTAGTTGTGATTACATCTATATACAAGAGAGACAGAAGACACCAAAATATTCTTTTTAGCATTAATTCCTCAGGTGAAAGTTTGTATTTACAAGAGCCACATTTTATGTATCTTTTTGAGCTGAGAAAGCTTTAAACTTAAAATATGATTTATAACCACAATAGTGAATACTTATTCTTTGGCGTACGTTGAGGCATCCTCATTTTGCGATCTCAATATGAGTAATTTTGTCAGGGTAATTTAGAAAAAAAAAATTTGGACCTTCACCTTATTCTACAATATTTCTACACAGAGGATTATGGGGAGGTAAGAGATGCCTAAACTTTCTAGCATACCTCTAAAGCAGGCTCCAGTCAATGGATCACAATGAACTCCAGGAGGACAGTGTTCACAGCCAGCCACGATGTTTGGCTCTCGTCCCTCTGCAAAAGCAATGCATTAATTTTTACTGTTATAGAGTTTCAGATCAGGATATAATTGTCCTACCTGGAATGCAATTGCAACCATCACAAACCAGACCACCTCTGCAATCTGCTCTAGTCTGACATTGGCAAACTAAAAAACAACACTCATGATAGAAGATTTCTATTTTAAAATACATTTCACACTCACCTCTAACACAAACTGGTTGATGGTTTTGAACTTGGCATTCTTGCAATTCATCGCAAGGATTTGCCTGAATACACGGATCAATGCACCTGGCATTGATACACGCTCGCTGAACAGGGCAATCCGAATGGGAAGTGCATCCGATGTCTGTGGAATCAGATATATCAAGAAAACAACTATAGTAAAGCAACATGAGGTAATGAATGTCGGCAATGCGCAACATTGATCAATATTTTTTTGTAAATTTTTCCGGTTGTATGCGGAACTTTTGGTTCTATCCATTGTCATCCTTCGTGTACTCCAAGAAGGTTTATCAATAGAAGATTTTCCCCATCTTTAAATTCAATATCAAAGCATTTTGGAGCGTGTGAAGCCTTTTATGCATAGGAGAGTATGACATCATTCCTCATCGCGATACCAAAGATATGAGGTAAGATGCTAGAAATGAGAGAATATCTTTACCTAATCTAAAGCCCATCACCCCGGCACCAAAGCAAATATATACAGTAGCAAGCACATGCAATCTATATACAAAATAGTACAACCTATATACAGTTTCTATGTACACAATGATCCAACAACTTTCAATGAAGCATCATCTGACCTATCAAAAGATCTGAGGATAAAAATAGATGATTTCTGTTCAAAGTCTGCAAATCCATGGATTGCGGTTGATGATAAATGCGTGAGGGTGGGGTGTTTCTGGCAATGAAAATCTCTTTTTGCGTCTTCGCATGTTTGAAAATTTGGAATTTCGACATTCTCCTGCCTTTCCTGAAACATGCAGCGACGAGAATTGTGTGCCGAATTCGATGAGTCGCCAAATAGGAGAGGATATAATAAAAGAGATGACATTTTGAAAGCAAATGGTCTACGAAATAAATATCCTCTTGTGTGCCTCATCATCACTTCTAAACGATAGAAAAGAGAAAGGAGAGATGAAGTGTCCTGTGTGCCACTATGCCAGAGCTGTTTCCTCATCCTCTGAAGCGTCTCATGACTCAATTGGCCACTGACAATCAATTTTCCATTCCTTAATCTTGCAATATATGCTTCTTTACAACGTCTCTTCACGAGGTATGGAAAATTAATTGCCGTGGTCAGTTGATGAAACGCACATTCAGTTACTTTACCTGGTCTTTCATTACAATCAAGATTCATTCCGGCGTTGGACTCATTGCAAAGGCAAATTATTGTGTGATTCCGTGGTAAACAAGGAACTGATTCAGGACATAGGAAGGAATAGTGGGAACAGGGATTTACGCAAGTGTTTCCAATGCAAGTCTCTGTCAAATTACAATGCTCATCTTTAAAGCACTCCAAGTAACTCGGAGTTGTGTTTTCTGATACCATGGCAGTTGTTTTATCTATATCGACTGGGCCAGAAGTCACTGTAATATCTGAGAAATTATCCTGAACTGTGCTTCCACCGTGTCGACCGACAATATCAGGATATTCGGTAGTGCCAATTGTCGTTTCAGGGAATTGCGTTGTTTTTCTTTCAGTAGTACCTTCCAAGAATTCTGTCGTGGTTATTGTACTCTGAGTTGGTGACTTTTCTGTCGTGAGTTCAAAAACTGTAGTAGAGGTGTCTGGAACTTTGCTCATAACAGCCTCCGTGGAAGTCTTTAATGGCTTATCAGTGACCAAAGTAGTTGTTTCAAATATTTCTGGTTCAGTTCTCCATTCAGGCCCTTCGAGATATTCTGTAGTTTTCTTAGTATATGCCTCAAGTGTACTAGATTCAGCACGTGTAACTGTTTCGGTTATTGGTTCTGTTGTTAATGATTGATCAGCACCTGTTGTAATCGTTGAGAATTGACTTGTAGTCTCAACAGTTGTTAATTCCTGCTGATTGGTAGTGTTAGGTATACCATAAGTTGTCGTGGTCTCTGCTTTTATTTCTGTAGTTGTGCTTTCCTTTAGAACTGTTTCAGTTGTCGAGAATTCTTCAGTACTAATAGTTGTAGATTCTTCTTGAGTCAAAGTTAGACCTTGAGTCGTTGTTGTATAAACACCATAAGATGTTATAGTTTCTGATTCAGGGGTTGTAGATTCTTCAACTACTGATGTAGTTGTCGAGAATTTCTCACTATTAGTTGTTGTTGTTAATTGTTCTGGACTACTAGTTGTGGTAGACTCCGCTTGTGTTGATGTTGTGCCTTGTGTTGTAGTACTAAATTCACTATATGTTGTGGTGCTCTCACCTTTTAATTCTGTTGTTGTAGAGGTCGCTTCAGTGTCTAATTCTGTTGATATCTTTTCAGTATTTGCTGTGATAGTAAATGGTTGTTGAGTACTAACAGTTGTCATAGATTCTTCTTGTGCCGAAGTTAAACTTTGAGTGGTAGTACTAAATTCATCGTATATTGTAGTAGTTTCTGCCTTTAATTTAGGACTTGATGAATCTTCAACACCTAATTCAGTTGTTGATATCACTTCAATACTGCCTGTTGTTAGTGGTATTTTTGAAGTACCAGGGGTGGTAGAATCCTCTTGATCTGAAGTCGTGCGCTGTGTTGAAGTCTCTTCATTCAACTTGAAAGTTGACGTTTCTCCATTAGTACTCAGGGTTACTTTCTCATTCATAGTTGTTGTTTCGGACACAGTAGTTGATTCTGATATTGTGGTAGTTAGGGGAACTCCAGTCTCCGTTGAAGATCGCTCTGTTGTTGAAAATGTACGTTCTTGCGTTTGTGTAGTTACATCTAATGTAATTTCATCCGTAGAGCCTCGCGCAGTAGTAGGATATGTTTGAGTACTGTCTGAGGTATATGGCACAGTTTCAAATGATGTAGTTTCCGAGGAAACTTCATTAGTAGTCGTAGAACGCTCTAAATACACACTATCGGTACTTGTGATAATTTCTTGTGTACTTAGTTGAGTTTGAGTAGTTGTTTCATACTTTTGGGTGTATGTGTTCGGATATTCAGACTCAGTTGTTGAACCTTCTGTTTGAATATTGTAGCTCGGATAGCTTTGTGTTGTTATCTCTTCTGGTTTCCTTGAAGATTCGGTCATTAAATTATCACCAGTAAACATTTCCACACTTATAGTACTTTCAGTAAAATCTCCACGAGGCTCTGGTCCTGATTCAGTTGTTGTTCTCTTACTTGTTGTAATACTTTCAGTTGTTGTTGTGTCATAAACTTTCGGAGTGTAACTTGTTGTTGTAATGTTTACTCCTTCGGTTGTTTCTGTTGCTTTCTCTGTCATGGAAGTTGTTGTAGTGAAATCACTGGATTCCGTGAATTTTTCTGTCGTGTATTTTTGCTCAGGTGTTGTCTTTTCTGTTGTGTAATCAATATTCTCATTAGTGACTGTTGAAGAATATTCAACATTTTCCGTAGTAACGTATCCTGAAGTAGACTCAGAAAATGTCTTAATTGTTGTTTCTGTAAATTTAGACGTACTTTCACTATACGTGGTGAGATCTGAAGTAGTTTCAGGAGTTTCGGTTGTCATGAACTTTGTTGTGGGAAATTCAGGCTTTTCTGTATCAGAAGTTGTTGTTGGAGATTGGCTAAAAGTAGTTTCAAGAAATTCTGGTTCAGTTCTCCATTCAGGGCCCTCGAAATATTCCGTAGTTTTCTCAGTAATCTCAGTGCGGGTGTCTACCTCTGTTGTCGATTCAGTAGTTGATGGTTCTTCAAAACCTGTTCCAGTTGTAGAAAATTGACCTCTTGATTCAAGTGTCGTAGACTCTTGTTGGGTGGTAGTACTAGTCATATCATAATTTGTGGTAGTCTCTGATTTTATTTCTGGAGTTGTACTTTCCTTTAGAACTGTTTCAGTTGTCGAGAATTGTTCAGTACTTGTTGTAGTCGAAGGTTGTTCAGTACTACCGGTTGTTGTAAATTCACCTTTAACCAAAGGTACACCTTCAGTACTAAATCCACTATACGTTGTGGTGGTCTCTGACTTAATTTCTGGAGTTGTTTCCCCAACAACTGATTCCGTTGTTGAGAATTGCTGTTCAGTACTACTGATCGTCGTTGTAGATTCATCTTGAGTCGAAGTTGTGACTTGGGTCGTTGTTGTATATACACCATAACTTGAGGTGGTATCTTCCTGTAATTCTCTGGTTGTTTCGGATTGAGTAGTTTCTTCAGTAAAGGACTCCGTTGTGTGTGATTGAAAGCCTGTAGTGGTTGTTATATTATATTGGTCATTACTTTGTATAGTACTCTCAGTGCTAGTCTCCTCATACTTTAATGTAGAAACACTGACTTCTGCTGTACCTGATGTGGTAGTTTCCCTAGCTGCGCTAGTAGTTGTAGAAGGCACATTCAATTCAGTTGTTGTGGTTTCACTATAAGACGTCTCTTCTGTTAAGAAATACGTTGTATCTTTCGCAGTGGAAAATTCTGTTATGCCTTCTGGTTCTGTAGATCCTTGAGTAGTAGTTTTCCTTTCAAAATAATTTTCGGTTTCAGTTGGAATATTTTCTGTTGTTGTGTAACTTGGAATCTCAGTTGTGTTTAAAATTCTAGATTCTTTTGTATATCCCCGTGTGGGAACATATTCTCTATATTCAGTACTTCTTTGATATTCTGTTGTTTCAGGAGTACTTGTAACTTCCTGTGTTGTTTCTGGCTCACTAATAGTTGTTTGATTTGTAGTTAATTCTAGTATAACTGACTCCGTAGTGACAGTCTCTGTCCACTGTGTTGAAGATTCCGTTGTTAGTTGATTTTGCGTAGAAGTTTGAAGCAAACTCGGTTCAGTAGTGGTTATTTTTGTTGTTACATATTCCTGGGGAGTTGTAGATGTTATTTCTTGAACAGTCGATGCCTCCTTAGTAGTTACATCTAAAATCACAGACTCAGTCGAAGACTGTGTTGAAGTTAGAGGTTGTCCCTCAGTTGTACCTTCCGCCACAATCGTAGTTTCATTCATTGTCAAATCTAATATTACAGCCTCTGTAATCTCTGTGCTTCTTGTTGTATCCGGTACTCTCTCATTATATGTTGTTGTTTCTGTCACAACTTCACTCAATGTGGTGTACTCATACAGATTTGTAGTTTTTTCCAACTTCCTGGTTGTTGTTTCTGTTGTGGTTTCTTGAGAAGTATCAGTATTGAATCTTACATCAATCCAATGAGTTATTGGAGTAACCTCCTCTTTTGTGGTTGTAGTTGGAATTTCTTCTGTTTCACCTTCTGTGTAAGCCTTACTTCCTATAAATTCTGTTGTAACCTCTGGCACGCCGCTTTGGAAACACTCAACGTAAGGATCACCGGAAAGATTGGGTAAACATTGACACTGAGCAGTGTGATTTGCAGCCTCACAATGAGCCAATTTGCCACAAATGACGGTTGCGCAGGGATTTTCGCAAATCCCCATGTGACAATGCTTTTTGTCGTTACAATCCTCGTGTTTTGAACAGATCATCTTCTCCTCAATAACTGCTGTGGATTACAATTTTTGTTAAAGTAAATACATTAAAATATTTACAGTGTTATATAGTAATATATCGAATACAGTGCAGACAATATATAGTGGTAAGAACGTCTTTACAAAAGGCAGAGAGATAGTGTCGGAGAAGAGAGTCAAACTGTACAATAAAATCATTTGTACATCACGCAAAATACATACAGTCCAATATTATTTGTCTGATACAAGGGTTATCGTTTGTGATTAGCTGCAGTCTAATATTTACAGAGCATTAGGAGATTATGTTGGTGGGATGAGATATTAAGTATAATTTTTGGTTTCTCATTCACTTCACTTTTGGAATGCATACAGATTTTGACAGAGTTACGAGGTTCTGAAGAGTATTCGATCAGTGAGGTGTTTAAAGAGTGAGCATGAGCGTGTGTGAATGTTTATTTTTCTGACTAATTTTCTCAATTATTTTGTCTCTTTTTGGGAATAATTTTGCAATGATCGTAATTTTGCGAGTTTTAATGTTTTGTTTTATGTTGCAGAGGTGGAATATTTTGGAACAGGTCAAGGGCATCGATGATAGTTGAACGAGGGTCGAAGGTACGGATTCTTAGGGGAACGTCAGACATCTTTCTGGGTTTTTTTTGGGAGGGATACGTTTGGCAAGGAATGGCGTTACGATTATTTCGATCTGGCATGTTGTTCTTTACAGTCAAATTAGGAGCATTAGAGAAGAGAAAAGTGGTAAATTAATAGTAAAACCTGACTGGAGCAGCTGGGAAATATTTGGATATAAACTCTTTCGTAATTTGTTCATTGTCTCTATCCAAGTCGAAGACATGATTTTTCAAATTTTGACTTTTCTTGGATTGTAGCTTATTTTTTACCTTTTAGACATCCATTTCGCGCATCAGCCACAAATCCTGGTGGGCAGAATTTACAGATGGGCTTGTGATCTTCGACGTAGCAGGGTGAATTTGCGGCACATGTGGCGTGATCGCAAGGGTTAACACATTGATAGTTACGGCATGCCTTATCGGAAGGACACCCCATGTCTCTGAGGCAAATGGTCAAAGACGGATGGCAGTCCTTCATGCACACGCACACCGCCTTGCGATCGACAACCTGGCATTGTTTATCCTGTGGACAGGGTCGGCCGCGACGTGCATTCTCTGCACACGGATTGGCACACCTCCCCTCGATACATGCCCTATTGGACGCACACTCGTCATCCCGATGGCACTCACGCGTCTCAGGGGCACAAATCAACTCCCCATACTCATTCACGATGAAACCCGCCTTGCACACGCACACGGGCCGATGACGACGGGTTTCGCAACGCTTATTGCCCTCGCACACGAACGTGGGATTCTCACAAGGGTCTGTGCACTGTCCATTGGCGTCACAGTGCAATGTCTGGTGACAGTCATTGTTTTCGCGGCACGTACGCGCAATCGGTGTAGCGGGTCGGGGCGTCGTCTGGTCCACGCAGTTTGGGTCTGGGGTGCATTCGATATGGGGTCGACCCACGTAACAATTGGGACATGTACACCGTGGTCTGTGCAGAACAGTCTGGCACAGAGCATTAACACCGCACGCCCCACGCATCGTGCACGGATCCGAACACTGTCCACCGATACATGCCTTCTCGCTGGGACAATCCACATCACTCTGGCACTCCTGGTCTAAATGTTCCGGGAATAACAAACAGTGTTTAGGGTGTTTCTCATTGTTTGTGGTGCAGTGAGAGAGACAGACAGAGTGTGTGGAAAGACAGAAGATAGAAAAGACTGAGATCTGATCGTGAAAGTTTGAGAGAGTTCTCACGATAAAGGGTTTACGATTATGTATCCAAAACAACTTCAACAACCCACACAAAGAGATGGTGACGAAGGTATGCTTTTAGAGATCAACATTTTGATATGAGGTTTTCCGTTTGTTTTTGCCAAATACTATCAGAGTGTCTTCTCTAACTTTCAGCATTTTATCACTTAAGGACACCTGTCGTTGTAAGGGAAATTCATCAGAAGACAGAGTGACAGTGAGTAAATGAATGGGCAGGAGGTATTGTGAAGGAAAAAGAATTGTTTTGCTCTCTACAATTGTAATCATTTTTATCGTTTAAGTATCGCAAAAATCATCTGAGAACTGTGATATAGGGAAACTTCTCACAAAATTTATCTTGTTTTCACTGTTTTATTCTTTACAAATCATCCAACACATGCGCTCTGCCCGGGATATTTAGGATTTCTGTGGTAATATAACATAATTAGGCAAATTATTCAATTTGATGATTAGAAATGGAACATTAATAATATGTTCAGTTCAAACAAGGATATCGCACCTATCTTTTCCTCCTATCTATTATCTCTTTTGTGGACTAAGGAGAGTGTGGAATGAAGAGATATATAGAAACAGTGAGGTTAAATAAAATTTAAAGCATCGACTGCAATTGGCGTATCAAACAGGCGATAAAAGATATTCTGTATGTGTAGCTTTTTACCACCAAATCCTGGTATAAAAATTTTCAATAAAATATTATAGAAAAATGCACAGGAGTATTTGCAATACACATAGTCAAAAAAAATGTTAGGGCGGGAGATATGTGTAAAAGGAGGGGTAGAAGTGGTACCATTGACAAAAAAAAAATAATAAAATTATGTACAAAACTTAGAAGCATAATTTAAAAAAAGTAAATTAAAATTGATCGCAAGGAAGGACCAAACTTTGCCAAAATATAGATATATGAAAATATAAACAAAAGAACGAAACCAATTAATAAAGGGTGAATTTTATGCACAAGTCAAAACAGGGATTAATATCTGGAAAAATATTGTCCTTTGTACATAGCCCGAGCCTTTACACGTGCAAGCAGCCAATGAACTATATAATGTGTGAGAATTGTCCCGTCCACAGTTCCCAATCTGCAATCTGGCATTCTTTTTCCAACAACAATACAGACTTGTGTCAAAGATTTATGTGTATTTATATATGTATATATATAGAAATAAAACATAATAAAAATAGAGTGAAAGATGGTAAAACGTAATAAATTAAACAAATAACATGAGTGTGATTTGTGTGTTCAATGTGATATATATATAATGTGATATTTGAACATATGTATAAATACATAATTGTGTGATAGAATAATTTTTAAAAAATCCAATCGTAGCATTAAAATATATACAGCATGTTCTTATGTTTGGTACATTTGCTATTCTGGTTTATAGAGGACACTTTCGCTTTTTTATGAAGAAAACTCTTCATTTTAGGCAATCCAGAGAAAAATTCTTTTTCCAAAAGGTAAATGTCGACATTCTGTGTGATTTGGGCAAATAAACAGTCATTCGCGTCAAAGCTTTGAGCTGGCTTTTTAAGGGCACAGATTGGGAAACCGCGATAGTGACAGTGACATTCCATAAGAGAGACAGAGTCTTAGAAAAGCATCTTCTTGGACGTTTAAACACATGGGATAGTCGCCCGCTGTAGAATCTCATTTCTGTATCTTGTAATTTATCACACTTACTGGCTGTTACTGATTAAAGATCATGTCGCTTAACAGCAGGTTAACGTTAGCCTAAAATTGTGTGTGTATCATTTTCACTCTGTGTTACTCACAATGCACCCAAGCAGCAAAAATTGGATAACTTATTAATTACATAATTTTGCTGCTTGAGTGGTTTTATTCACTTCAATATCAACAAACGGTTTATCTTCCAATTTTTAAAATTAAAAAATTAATTTAAAAACAGAACAAATTACGTGCTTTTTGTAAAAAAAAATTAGTGAAATTATTGTTGCTGTTTAATTTAATATTTCTGTTGATTAAAAAAACTATATAACACACAAGTGTATTGTGAAAAATATATAACAATGCATGAAGTGTGAGGTAAAATCTTGATTGCTCTAACTTACCTATTCTACAGACATACTGGAAGTTGTGCAGTACGCATTTTCCGGTGGGACATCCCGTCGAGCGGCAATCAACGTGCGATTTTTCCGGAACACCTGAAAGAGACCAATCAAGGGAATTAGAATGTGCATGTGCGTCCAGCGTTGGCATGATGATGTCACTACATTGAACGTATGGATCCCCTTGCGGGAATTCCGGTGGACAGTAGCACTCGGCGGTGTGGGCATTTCGCACACGGCACGCTGCATTGAGACCGCATGTTTGATGAGAGCACACGTTCACTTCACCCTCGCACTGGCATCCCTTTCGCGGATCCCCAACACATCCCTCGATACAGCTGCACTCGTACCCGCCGTACAGTTCGTGGCACACGGCATTCTCACCACACGGATTCCTCAGGCACGTGCCTGGCGACAACTGCTGGCATTCAATTTCGGGATTCCCCACGAACCCTGGTGGGCAGGAACACTGAGCCCTCTGGTGTGCCACACGACACTGGGCATTGACACCACACGCGCCTTGCTCAAGGCAAGGATTGCGACACGCTCCCGCACGGCATTCTTTGTCACTTTCGCAATCAGCGTCTGATGAGCATTCGAAGCGAATACACTCCTGGGAAGGCTCTCCGTGAAAGCCATCTGGGCATAGACACAAAATACGATGATCGGAGACCCGACAAAGGGCATTTCTACCGCAGGAACCGTCTCGGGTGCAAGGATCTTGACACTGCCCAGATACGCAAGCCTGTTCATTAGCACAATCAAGGTGGGTGCGGCAGCCAGCGACGCAAGCTCCTCCTTCGCACAGTTGTCCAGCTGGACATACTCCTGGATCGCACGCCATGCGACACTTTCCAAGAGAACATTTCTGACCGCACGAGCATTGGCTGTCGTCATTGCAAGTTTCAGCACAGAGGATTCCATGTTCGTCACATTGACAATAGGAATTGCATCTTTGTGGTGGCAAGACACATCCCTGAAGAGGATTTCCTTGATACCCAGCTTTGCAGCTACACTGAACTCCATGATTGATCACACTGCATTCTGCGCAACTACCACATTGTCCACTAACCGAGCACGGATCAGCACACTGGCGATTGATACAGGCCTGATTAGAGGGACATGTGAGATCATTTCTGCAGCCCACTTGGCACATTCGGTTCTCACAAATGAGTCCACTGCCACAAGAAGCATCGCTATTGCAAACACTTCGACACGTTCCTCGAACACAGCGTTCATCTGCTAAGCAGTTCTGATCGTTTCTGCATGTGATCTGGCACACATTTCCATAGCAAGAGTGTCCAGGAGGGCAGTCACGATGGTTTCCACATGAGACGTGTTCATATCGACAGCCGAGATTGGGATCTCCAACGAGAGGTGGTGGACAAGTACACAATTTCTGATGACCAGATACTTGACACTCTGCATTGGTGCCGCATGCTGTGGCCTCGAGACAAGGATCTCGGCATTGGTGATTCACGCAGGCTAAAGAATCAGAGCATCCAGCGTTGGAGCGACATCCCACAGTGCAAATGAGGCTCTGGCAAACTTCTCCATGTCGACAGTCGTCATCTCTTCGGCAGAGAGGTTTACAAGCTCCATTCTCACATCTTTCGTTATTCAGGCACCCTCCATCATTAGCACAAACTGGTCGACACATCTCCTCGAAACAAGCGAATCCTCCAGGACACTCACGATTTTCCACACACGGCAGAGCAGGCGCTCTGATGCATCCCACTTTAGCTGTGGGACTTGGAACCATGCCTTGGATGCAAGAGCAAGAGGCTCTGTGGTTGGAAACTGTGCACACAGCGTTTGGTCCACAAGGATTATCATGACAAGGATTGCTGCACAAGTTATTTCTGCAAGTCTCACTGGCACTACAGTCTTCATCAGAATGGCAGCCAAAGACGCACTTGTTGTGTAGACAAATATGTCCCAAGAAACAATCATTGTCGACTCGGCAAGTCAACATGCAATTGCGATTTATGCACTTCTCATTCAACGCACAATCGTAGTCTGCACTGCATGCGGGCAAGCACATCGTGTCACGGCAAGTGTGTCCTTCAAGGCAATCACGAGATGAGACACAAGCCACAGGAATTCTGACACATTCATTATCAGGACTTCCAGTAAATCCTGGTGGACAACCGCATTGTTTGACATGATTGTTGATCACACAATCGGCATTCATTCCGCACGCTTGATCTTGCTCACAAGGATTGAGACACTGTCCATTGAAGCAAATCTCATCCAAAGCACATTCAGTGTTCAGAACACAGACTGGCTTGCAAATATCAGCATAGCAGTAGGTGTTGATAGGACAATCTCCAGTTGAGTGGCACGGAACAGGAAGAGGTCGGCAACCGATGGAAATGTCATTCGGGTCACCTTGATATCCTGATCTGCACTGGCAATGGGCCACATGACCCTGAGGTTGACACTCTGAATTTGGCCCACAGAGAATATTTTCGCAAACATCCTTACACTTGGGCACTCCATTCTGCTTCTGGCATTCTGCAAACGGAGGACAATCTTCGTTCCTTTCGCACTCAACAGCTGCTCGACAGCCATCATGGTAGGGATCCCCAACGGATCCTTGAGGACACGAACATTTGAAAGATCCACGGCTATTGCGACATCTCGCTCCTGGACCGCAAGGTCCGTCTCGGCAGTAGTCAATTACATCACATCGGACTTTAGGATCTCCTGTGAATCCTGGCTGACAGTGACAAACTTGTTTGTGATTTTCAGCTGAGCACAAGGCATTAGCACCGCAATGTTTTTCGAGAAGGCAGGCGATCTTGCACATGTGATTATCACAAGTTTTATCCGTTGAACAATCTGAGTCCTGTTGGCATTGAACTTTTCGGCATCCGCCTCGAGCATCACCAAAGAATCCAGCTTTGCAGGAGCACACAGCTTCATGTTGCCGAGCTGTGCACTCAGCATTCCTTCCGCAAAGCACTCTTCCACTGCAGGCATTTTGGCACTGAGATCTTCCTGAAGAGTCTGTGACACAATTTTCATCAATATCGCAGTCCTCATCTGAGCGACAGACAAAGTCCTGAGTACAGATGTTGTTGAAACAATATTGGAAGTCTGGACAGCTGGTATTACTTCTACACGTTGGCTGACAAACTCCTTGGATACAGAGTTGATCTCCGTAGCAATCCCTGGTGCTGGAGCACAGGGAACAACATACTCCAGCATTGCAAACTGTTCCAGCAGGACATTGCTGATCAATACTGCAGTATTGCACAGGAACACATCCGAGAAGAGGATTTCCAGTCATTCCTGGATGACAAGAGCAAACTCCTTGATGATTCTCCGGAACACACTCAGCATTCTGACCACAGACGTTGGCCAAAGTGCAGGGATTGACACATTTAGAGTCCACACAGGTTTGAGAAAGATGACAATCATCGTTGTCCGAGCATTCAATTCTAATACATTCGTGAGTGGGATTTCCTCTTGTATTTCCTGGACACCGACAGACGGCAGCATGAGCCACAGCCACACACTCAGCATTCCGGCCACAAGCGTGAGGATTTTCACACGGATTGCGACACTTTGATTTCTCACAGAGGGCTGTTGGTGGACAATCAGCATCTGTATAGCATTCTCCAGGACTTCTGCATCCTGTTTGGATCGGGTCACCAACAAGTCCTTCAGCACAGGAACAAACGAAAGCTCCAGGCGTATTGGTACAAATGGCTGTTGGTTGGCAAGGATTCGTAGCACACTCATCAATATCCTCACATCTTCCTCCCTGGAGTGAATATCCTTGAGAGCAGGCACAGACAGGTTCATGGTTGACCACTGAGCACGATCCTCTTCCGCAGTTGACAAAGTCACAAGGATTGATGCATTTGTTTGTTTCCTCGTGACAATGACGATCTAGAGTACAGTCCTCACTCACCAGGCATTCGACTTTGAAGCAGCCCACGGACAAGTCTCGGGGATCCCCAAGATGACCACTAGGACAAAGACAGGTGGCGCGATGATTCTGAGTATCGCAGAAAGCATTTGGACCACACTGTGTACTTGCGCATGGATTTGTACACTTTCCACGGATGCAAGAAAGTCTAGCATCGCAGTCTTCACTCCTGAAGCATTCATTAGGCTGGACACATCCTGGTTCTCTCGTAGCATCGCCAACTGTTCCGGGAGGACAAGTGCATCGATAGGATCCAGGAGTATTTTCACATCGTGCGGAAGGATGACAAGGTCTCTCTGTGCACTCATCAATGTCTGAACATCCGAAAGGCGTTCCAATGAAGCCCACTCCACATCTGCATTTTCCAGTGAGGCACACTTGACTCGTAGGGCAGTCTGCATCTGAGCCACATCCGCTTTGACATACTCCATCATTGTTGCAGATTTCTCCGGGGAGGCAATTGTTGTTCGTATAGCAGACCTTAGCACACACATTGTTGTAACATCTTTCTCCAATGGCACAGGAAAGGGTTTCCCTGCACGGTAAGTTGCATTGGTTGGCTATACACATATGTCCAATTGGGCATTGAACTGTAGCAACGCAGGTGGCCGGAACTCGAACACATCCCTGTTCAGGTATGGGATTTCCTTCAAATCCTGGAGGACAAGTGCAGGAAGTGACGTGATTGGCACACTTGCAGAGAGCATTTGGTCCACAAACTCCTTCTGTGGCGCATGGGTCTTGGCATTTACTATCGATACAAGCTGCACTTGTGGGACAATCCTTATTGCTGCGACATCCAAGGAGACAAGCTCCTGCCGAACACGCCTGACCCTTTGGACATTGACTGTGACTAGAGCAGGGCAGAAGACACGTATTCTGGATACATTTTTCCCCAATTGAACAATCATTCGCATTCCTACATGCAACTTTGCACTGTCCTTGCTGGCACACTTCTCCCCCACAGTCAAGATCAGTTTTGCAAATCCTGACTTGGCGGAAGCATCCATCTCGAGCACCTGTCAGAGCAGCCTCAAAGCGTTGAGGGCAGTCACACTGGGCTTTCCTATTAATCACCACACATAGTGCATTTGGCCCACAGGCTGATTCACAAGGATCAATGCAACGTCCTCCAACACAAGCGGCGTGAGGAGGACAATCACGATCGCCCGCTGGACAGGCACCTTCTGGACGGCATCCAGTTGTAAATGGATCCCCCACGTGATTCGGTGGACACTTGCAAGTGTGACCAAGAGAAGTTACTGAGCACGCGGCAGACGGATGACATGGATTTGGGGAGCATCCATCCACGGGCACACACTCGACACTCGGAATTGGATTTGGACGGAATCCACGAGGACACTGACAAACAGCTCGATGATCTTCAGCTATACAAACGGCGTCTGTTCCACAAGAGTCCTCTTCGCACACATCATGGCATTTATGAGTCAGTCTATTGCACATCTGTGTGGGAGGGCAGTCATTGTTGTACACGCAAGGCACTTGGCGACATCCATTAGACATATCATAAGGATCACCAGCAAATGGCCCAGGAGGGCACTGACACTGTGCATTGTGATTGTTAGAAATGCAAACAGCATGAGGACCACACTGTCTTCCTTCGCAAGCTGGTCGGCATTTCATTACACCTTCCTGACGGACGCAGGCTTCGGATTCTGCACACTCTGCACTAGTGGAGCATTGACTTCGCAGCTCTGGTTGGCATCCATTGCGGTCATTTGGATTTCCAGAGAATCCAGGAAGGCACTGACAACTTCCAGCGTGATTTGTGGCCACACATACTGAATTCGCTGGACAGGTGAACTCTGCACACACTGATACACATTTCAGAACTCCAAGAACATCCTGACGACAAGCTGCCACTTGATGACAATCGCGATCTGATGTGCAGTCTGGAATAGACGGTTGCTCACAACGTGAAGACACTGGATTCCAGACAAATCCGGGAATGCAGTGACAAACAGGATGGCCAAAGTTATCCAATTGGCACACTTCATGTGTTCCACAAGCAACTGTTGAGCACGGATGAACGCACTTCCTATCAATGGTACAGATAAAGCCATTTTCGCAATTCTCATTGGTGTCACAGGCTCCATGATGAGCATCTCTCTCCTCTGGCTGACACCCAAGAACCAAATCACTCGGTTGTCCATGATATCCTTCAGCACAGATACAAGCTGATCTGTGATCTTTAGATAGACACAGAGCATTGGGTCCACATTGAACTTTACTGCACGCATCCACGCACTTCCTGAGTCCTCTCCCGAATTGGAAGCAAATCTCTGGGTTCTTGCATTCTGCATCATTCGCACACTGGCCAAATACTGTGCAGCCATTGATTTTGTCCTTTGGATTTCCCGTGTATCCTGGAGGGCAAATACACTTCCCGGAGTCACAGGCCGCTCGCGGACCACACAATACTCTATCGCAGAGATCTCTGCACCTTCCTGCTTCACAGGCGAATCCGGGCGGGCACTGAAGCTGTGCTCCACACTGACATCGACTGGGATCATCGCAGAACTCATTGTGAGTCCGAGTGCAAAGAGAGTATGGATTTCCTGCATATCCTGGCTTGCACCTACAATCGTAACTTCCGGGAGTGTTGATACAGATAGCTCCCTTCCCGCAAGCATGACTTGAGCACTCATCCACGTCGAAGCACTCCACATAGGGATTTCCAATATATCCTCCTGGACAGAGGCATTCAATCGCATTCTGACCACTCTCACGACATTCAGCGCCTCGTCCACAGGAACTTGGTGTGCACTTTGTCTTCTTCTGTGGACCACAGCCCTCATAAGGGTTCCCTGTGGTCCCTGCATTGCAAACACACTGATTCGTAATAATTCCATATTCGCAATGCGCATTAAGCCCACAGCTTGGGTCACAAACCGGAGTCTGGAAGGGCGGCATACAGAGTAGTTCAGGATTGCCGACAAATGATGGTTCACAGACACATTTTCCAGAGATTGCATCACAAGTTGCTCCAACTCCGCAAATGACACTGTCGCATCGATGCTTACATCTCCCATTAATGCACACTTGAGGATTCTGGCACGGTAGCTTTGCTGAACATTGATCAGTCACACAAATTCCACCAGGGAAAGGATTTCCATACTGCCCAGGAGGACATTTGCAAGTTGGTCCACTATTTGTGACGATACAGACAGCTCCTTGGCCACAGAAGTAGTCATTGCACTGAGACACACAATTTCCATCTGGTCCTTCAACGAATCCCACTCGGCATCGACACCAGGCGACGTGCTTCTCTGGAGCGCAAAGTGCATTTGGACCGCAACGGAAGTTGGAACAAGGGCTAACGCATGTTCCTCCAAGACAGGCCAAATTCACAGCACAATCATCATTGGAGTGGCATTCGGACTTTACAGAACCAGGCTCTAGGATGCACTCTCCCTTATAAGGATCACCGCGGAAGCCTTTGGGACAGACGCATTTGTAGCCACCCTTCTCATTGATGCAATGGGCTCCATAAGCACACGGAGCGTGGGCACACTCATCCTCATCTACACATCCTTGCAGAGGATCTCCTTTGTGGCCAACCTCACACATACATTGCGGAGGATCGCTTGGAGTACATTTGGCATTTATTCCGCAAGGGAAACGTTCACAAGGATCTGGAAGGAAAACAAACAATTAATAAAATCTGTATTTAAATTGAACTTTGAAGATTAAACTTACTCTTGCACTTGTTCCCATCAGTGGCGTCCATAAAGAAAGGAGGTGGACATATGCATTCTCCAGGCTGAACACACTTCTCGTTGACGCCACACTCTCTATCCGAAGCACATCTTCTCTGAGCAGGAGCACAGAGTCCGTGATAAGCATCACCGCCGTATCCCTGAGGACAGAAGCACTCATAGGATCCCGCAAGATTTCTGCATTCAGCTCCGTAGCCACAAACTTGCTTCCCTTCATTGCACTCGTCCACATCGACGCATGATCCATCAGATTGAGTGCGGTATCCCTTTGGGCAAGCGCAGTAACTCACTCCACCCGCAATTGAGATGCATTCAGCTCCAGGTGGACACTTTCCGCCCTCTTGGCATCCCGCCAGGATGCAATTTCCACCCACGAGCTTATATGGAGCCTGACACTGACATTCTAAGCTGTTGCATTCTTCACACAGTGAGTACGGATTTCCATTGAAGCCGGGCGGACACTGACACTCATAACTGCCTGGGAGATTTTTGCACAGAGCATTGAGTCCACAAGCCCTCCCCCGATTCTCCGTACACTCATTAATATCGCGACACTTCCCACTCTCAGCATCGCGAGCATATCCTTGCCGGCAGATGCACACCGAGTGCCCACTATAGGAATCCAAGACGCACAGTTCTCCAGTAGGACATGGTTGACTATCTGAGCATGTGATGGCGATGAGATTGTTCTTAGTGCATCCATCACGATAGGGATCACCAGAACTGCCTCCTGGGCACTGACAAGAATATCCTCCAGGGGTGTTAGTGCAAACCGCTCCACTGGGACAAGGATTTCCTGCACATTCATCAATATCAGCGCATCCTCCCAGTTGATTTCCTGCTCCTGTATATCCTTCAGCGCATAGACACTGCGCCACTTGATTGACGATCATGCAATTTGCATTTGGGCCACACACAACAGCTTCGCACGGGTCTGAAAAATAGCACGAATGGGTGGGAGTTAATAGAAAGTAGTTTACTTGATCAAGAAATCTTACAATGTTATATTGAATTGATCATATCAGCATGCTATAAATTGCACTTACGTCTACAATCATTGCCAATGTTGGGTTCTGGGCAGAGGCATCTCTTGTGCTCATCGCAAATGGCATTCCCGGGGCAATCGTTGTCCACTTTGCACGTGACAATGGCAATACATCTGACACGTGGATCAGGATCGGCGAGACTCCCTTCAGGGCAAGAACATTCATATGTTCCCGCCAGATTACGACAGAGCGCCCCAATGCCACACGCTCCCGGTCGAGAGCACTCATCCACGTCGAAGCACTGTCTGTGGGGATCGCCACTGAATCCAGGTGGGCACAGGCACGAGAACCCACCCGGAGTGTTGGTGCAGACGGACTCAGCCCCGCACTTTCCCGTCGGCCCATGCACCGTGTCGCATTCGTCAATGTCCACACAACCCGCGGCGATATCGCGCGGATTGTAGGTCCATCCCTCGTCGCAGACGCAGAACGCCTCCACACCGTCTGGCTTGCAATAGGCGTGGGGCCCACACTTGACATCCTCGCAGGGTGCCTTGCACGCGATCCTCGGCGGCGCGCCCACATAGCCCGCCTGACAGAGGCACTTGTAGGATCCAGGCGTGTTGATACACTGCGCGAACGCCCCACAAATGTTTTCATTTGTCCGACACTCGTCCACGTCCGCGCACACGGAGCCCTGTGGCTCAAACCCATCCTGACAGAAACACTGACCCTCAATACACTCAGCATTGTTTGTGCAGTCAAAATTGCTCGCACACAGAATATTCACATCAAACTGTTCGCACGCAATCTTAGCGTCCGGCTTCGCGCGATACCCCTGCGGACACAGACAATTGTATCCCGGATTGGTGTTCTCACATATCGCATGATCCCCACACGGTCTGTCCAGCGCCGTGCACTCGTCCACATCCACACAACCTCTGAATGGATCTCCCGTGTACTCTGGCTTGCATGAGCACACAAAACTCCCAATGGTATCCGTGCATATGGCATTTGCTCCACATGGATTATCCCGACATTCATTTACATCTACAGTGAAGAAGCAAATATAATGGAAGTTAGTACATGAGACAATGATGTCGTCTGTCGTGGTGGGGTCGAAGATCCCATCTGAAGGATCATCAAAAAGTATTTCAATTCATATCAGACAAATCAGAATAAATCTCAGGAAAAAAAATCGACAATAAAGTGCTTCAAAAGGGTATACATAACTTAAAATACGTGGAGAGATCACAGATCAAGATTCAAAATATTTTGTGAGATTAAAGGGGTAGAAGCGATACTACATTTCAGTAGATAATATTGAATTAGAGATTCAATAGAAGAATATTTACAACAGATTATTTTATTAGGGTTTCTTTTTCAAGAAGAATTCTACCAAAAGAATTAGAGAATCAATTACTTTATCAGTCTGGGAAGAATTATATGTACTAATGATCAGTACAAAATATTCAATTTGATTGACCTCTGTAGGTTTCAATTTCTAATCTCTATCAGACTGATAAAATAACAATAATCATTTTGGCATTTGCCAGCGTTTTCTATTTACAAAACATGTCAAGATCATACGAGCATCTTGAGAAATTGCTTGTTATAGGTATCAGAAATAGAAGCCAGTAACCAATAAGAATAATACTCTTGAGTTAAATCTACAAAATCTTTTCTTCTTTGTACATTAAAACATTCTCTCGAGAAAGTTCATTCCGAAAGAAGATAGAATCTGAGCAGTCTCAATAGGGAGACTCATTCGACCCCGGCTAGTAGAAAGTTTGTTAAAATAGTCTCAGCGAAAATGCATCACCTTGTCTTATTAGGTGACTTAATTTATTAGTGTTTTTTTTTCTGTGTTAAATGGAAAATGATAGACATCATGCGGTTCATGCTAGTGTGCAGGTTCTACGAAATATTTCACAAATGATATGAAAATGTTACGTACTGTCACAGAAAATGTCCCCCTGTCCGGAAAATCCCGACGGACAGAGACATTTGTGAGATCCTGGGAGGTTAATACACTTAGCATTGACCCCACATGGATTTGCCCGGCCACACTCGTTAATATCCACACATTCGCCATTGGCTCCCGCATCTGTATATCCAGGTGGGCAATCACACTTAAATCCACCAGGAATATTAGTACATTGGGCTCCCTCAGCGCAGGGATTGTTAGAGCATTCGTCGATGTCTTGAGTGTTTATATGGATGATGATGTTTGTTTTAGGTTTTCAGTTTGATTTTGTAGTCGTTGGGATGAGAAAGAGGCATTGGGAGAAGCAATAAAGATATAACATTAGACAATATTTGATTTTAAATCTTGTTCACTTGATGATCATTGTGACTCGCGCTGCTAACGCACACTTACCTTGGCAGTCAACCATGGGATCCCCGATATATCCCTCTGGACACTGACACCGAAAACTGCCCACGACATTTGTGCAATGAGCATTGCGACCACACGGTGACCGACTGCACTCATCGGCATCGGCACAGCCAGTTCCTCGGGCATCACCATCGAAACCTGGAGGGCAGTCGCAGCGATAACCACCCTCGAGATTTGTACAGATCGCCCCTGGGCCACAGACGTCAGGAATGAGGCATTCGTTGATATCCACACACTGTCCACGGCGAGTCGAAAGGCAGGAGAAAGAGGTAGAAAAAAGAGAAGAAACTGTTAGTGTCTCTATTTTTAAAAGCCTCCCGTATAGCTTCCCTCGAGAGTTATGCATTCAATGGCAATAGTAAGATAAAATTCCCTCTATTATGTATTCATACCCCGTCGTATGGATTTCCTTCGAAGCCATCCTGACACAGACATGTGTAGTTGCCCGGCTGATTTATGCAATGCGTATTAATGCCGCACGATCCCGGTCTCTCGCATTCATTGATATCTGAAAGTGATTTTTCCGTGAATAGAAATCAATCACACAGAGTGATGGAATATTGCATGATAAAGAAATACACGCAAGGGAGACATTGGATGATAAAGGCAGTAGAGATCAAGTTGTAAATTACTGAAAGTTGCACAGATTTCCGATGAAATATTTCAGCATACCAATAAAAATGTACAGAATAATGTGTAGATTTCATGAAAACTTCTAACTCTCTCATCAACACAAAGCATCATAGCCTTTTGTAGCAACACAGCACAGCATGTTCTATCATCAGATCAACAAATTTTATTTATTGGTTGCAAAATAATCCATAAATACCAGAGTCATCCAATAAATCTGCACTCAAATTTTTATTATTCCCTCTCCGCCTCGCCAGGCCGCAGCAAAACATTGTGCCATTGGTCATGTGAGTTGAAAAGAAGGCGCAAAAGGATTAGATTCAATTCACCTTCAACGGCGAACATGAGGAATAATATCCAATGATCTCCGGACATAGGTTAGTAACATAAATCTCATCCTTCTCTCTCGCTTATGCGCCTCTTCATGGATATATGTATATATATATGGAATAATATCAGGCAAAACTCAAAAGGGTGAGTGAGATTCAACAATTTATTCGCCGTAGGCGGCCCCATTTCGTCTTATTCCATCTCATACCTACTGTGAGATGGGTAATTTGCATATTTGGGGATGAGACCTTGAATCGGATGTTAATCGATCACCGCTGGGCAAAAGAATGCAAATAACCTGAACCATATTTGTTTTTGAACAATTGGAAGATCCATCAGCAATCCTTCTGGTCAATATACATCGTTTGCATCGCGAAAAGGTAGCACAATACTCGAGATGATGAATATATATGCGAGATATGAAAGAGAAGAAGAAGATTTGCTGGAGGTTTCATGTGAAAATTTTCACATTTCTTCGCCTTCCTTACACGCGAAGAGTCCATTGATTTATTGACCACAACCCTTGTGTGTTTTGTAAGAACAGTGTAAAGAAGTAGATATTCAGCTGTACTGTGAATCGTGAGAAATAGATTCTCTCCTCCGCCTCTCCCACACCACCTAACATGTATAGATTAATTTTAAGGCATGTTTTCTCCTTGGCTAGATCATTTGTACGCGATTTTTGCACGAACATATATAAATTTCAGGAGGAGACTTTCAGCTAATATACGTAAATTTTCCACTATATTGTCTCACACACTACACCATGATTCAATGTCCAGAGCGTGCCTCTAATTTCACATTCAACAGCAACCAGCCGTATACTTGCGGGTAAGTGTAAAATAATTAATTGAAATCCCCATATTCAACTCATTATGGGGTCCCTCTTCTATCAAGAAGATTCGTTCACGTTCATCAGCCGATGTTAGAAGTGTGGTAGGAAAAAAAAGGCGACATAGAAGTGTCGGAAACATGAAAACATAGCGTGAAAAAATTTTATGCTAAATGTAAATCATTAGTGAGAATGAGTTGGATGTGTAAGAGACCAAAAAAACTGAAACATCCTTCAAGACAAAATCATGTTTTTGCAATCAGAATTCACACTCCGTAACCACTAATTAATAGTCACTAACAGAATTTACACTGATGCTTCTGGACGGCTTTTTTTGTGCCTTTTCATATTCTTGTCTCAGACGACCACCTTCATCATCGCACTTCCCTTACTAATGCGGTGATGTCTGATGTATGGTATTTATGGTGGTGGTATTACTCACCCAGACAGAGTTCCTCGCCATCGCCTTCAAATCCGGGTAAGCATTTGCACACAAAATGTGCTGGTAAATTGCAACATTCGGCATTCTCGACACATCGAGCTGCAATTGCTGGATCTTCGCACTCGTCAATGTCTGCAAAGACAATGGAATATGAATATGAAATCATATTCTTTATGGTAATGAGTTCTGGATAGCATATTAAAGGGTTTCACTCGTCATGCACTCGCGACGTTGTCATTTGAAGCTAATTTTGCTTGGAAAAACAAGGCGATTAAGAGTCGCTCAACATGTTAGATAAACTATATTGAAAGCTAACATAAAATGAGTGAGAAGCAGTGTCATTAAACATATCTGGAGACATTTTATTCATGATAAAGCGCTATCTGACCTACTGAAAATTGATCACGCTTGAATGCCATGGAATTAAATATCAAGATGACGAGTACACTTTCATCTTCTCTACTCTCGAAGCACTTTTTATGGAACCAGTATTGATTTCATAATCTCCCCAATAAACTTCAAATAGTCGACCCCATGCCACTTCAATTCGATACACCCGAAAACTTTCTCAACAGATCATCATCCATCTCCTCAGCTATGGGGAATTCCACACTCTCTGGCTCATCCCTGGTTTTTGCTCATGTCCAGAAAATCGGTGTATGACTCAATGCTGGTCAGGGCATTTTATCTTCTCGGCGATTGTACACTCCTGCCGATCTGAGATGTTTGATGTCTTTCGCACAAATAAGCCCAACACATGCGCGCACGAAAGAGGCGCAAAGAAACAGTCAAGTGGAGTCTCCAATATCACTTTCCGGTTTTTCATTCTTTCTCGTTTCTTATGTGTTTTACACACTCATGAAAATACTTGACAAGGTCGCTCTTCTTTAGCATCTTCGCGAAGTGGACGCCGTGCGGCATCGAAGATGCCCCCATCGACTAATCAAGCGCAATTATTATTTGCTATATTAAATGGGCGAGATAACCACTCTTGCGCGATGCTGTTCCGCGGACACATGGAGAGATAGATCCAGGAAGGGAGATCTCATAAAAAATCACACTCCAAGAGTGTGTCTTGTGTTGCTCCATTAAAACACAATTCCTGGAGATCTTAGCACAATGATAACAACATAGACTATTTGTTATTATTCTGTACCACAACAGGGAATTTATCTACCTCCTTCTTGCTATTGTATCAATAAAAATAGAATAGCACGGGTGTTCTTTTCATTTTTCATTCTTCACTCACATGCTGTTCACAAGACAACCATCCTCTCCTTTCACCTCCCCATCCAGGAATTCCATTTTATAGATATATGACGCTAATAAAGTATTGAATGGGTGATATAAGGGAGTCGCCATGGTTCTGCATACCCCGAACAGAACCCTCAGCATCATTTCCACGTACACAGTGTCTCGTACGAAACGCAGTTGCATAAAATTAACTCATCAAATCAACTCCAAAGCCACCATGTTATGTGGTTTGCAATGAAAATGAAACGTACAGTGTTTGCCTGCAATTTGTAGCTTCTGATCTCATCCATGGCGAATCTCACAGTTCATTCCTACATAAACATTTTCAAATATGCACGGCAACCGAGAGAAAATGTTACATTTGAGCCATACTTGCAAGACAAAAGCTCATCTCTCACTCTTTCCCATTCTACTCAGTCCCTTCTCCCACTGGACACTCTCGCGCATCTCTCGAGACACACGAAATTATACTATACCGTTCTGCTATGATGAGTACATGAATATAAATTTGCACATTTCATAGAGTACAATGATCTTCTTTTGCTCACATTTTAACCCTCAAATATATCTGCCTCGCGGTCATCAGCGTCCCATAAATTCCTTTCTTTAGTGGCGACACTTATTTTCTTATTTTGCTATCTTACCGATTCTCCGCCAAAATGCGCCAAAAATAAATATTACTTCACTCGCAACCGATTGTCACACACACAACATCCAACATCGGGAACTATAAATTTTGCTAAGGCAAAACCCGAGGGTTAATCATTTGATACCATTATGATGTCACTCAGTGGCTTTTGCTCCAACTTCTCTCCCACTAACAACATAAAGACGGAGGAGAGACAGAGAGATATTCTCAAGATTGGTGGATTTCTCGTGTGGACGAGCATCACACTCTTTAAATCCCATTGTTCGAAAATATTTTCCACTGAAATACACCACATTTAATATGTCCACTCTTTCTCTTTTTATGCTGCTTCTGCTGTCCCCCTCTCCAATGTGAAATCTCTCACGATTGTGAGAAACTTTTCTTTCTTCTCCAGAGACAAACCAACTTGCAGGTGGGATATATTGGATGAAAAATGAATTTCCCAAAATACCTACTATTATACCAATTAACCGCTCATCTTCTGCACTCTACTTTCTTGATGGAAAAATGCGTGGGAGAAAAATGAAAGTGTTCAATTAACGAAGCACATTCTTGGCGAGTTCACAGGCAAACAAGATGACTTTCATTTGAAAGAAGAAATGAAGAATAGAAAAGTATAGCGGGAAATCTTGTAAATGCTGTTTAAGTATATTCGAAAGGTCACGATTGTAGCATTGCAAGAAAATCTTGACTTTTTCTCACAAAACAACATACACGCGGACTCGGTAAATGAATTACTTGAGATTTCTTCTGAAATCCATCTCAGAATTGAATCTAATAAAAGTAATCTCGGTAGAGGTTTCATAAACGCTAAACGCAAAAAAAGAGCTAAAGTTCGAGAAGAACGAACATCAGCATTCTATATATGATAATCTCCACTCCGCATGGCGAGAGTCTTTTCTAATGGCGAGATTCTGCTACAGTAAGAACAAACAGTAGACACCATAAAGTAATTATTCTGATGGGAGACTCGCGCTATATAGAAAACCAATAGAGATTATTGCGGAATCGGAGTTAATTAAAGTCACGAGGAACTTGCTATTTTCTCTTTCACTTTTTACCCCTCGTCTAGGCTCGGACGCCTTTTCAGCCTGCCACGCTAAACCCCCATTTTCATCCTCTTTGCACAACTCTTGGGCGGTCAGCATTGCATCGAGGCGAGATAAGGGCTTTAATGGCTAAACGGGAAACTCTCTGTCAAAGAGAATTTCCTCCCGAGTGCCAATCTCAGGCACTCGCGAGATTTCTGCCCTCGCATGTGGAGAAAAAGAAATGATCTATGTTGCCTTCAATATCCTACAAAAGTCAATGAAACTTGGAGAAAAGAAAGAAAACCCCGAAGAGATCCTCTCTTCACATATCTCCACGAAGGCGAAGCGTCTTCTCCACTGACTTTTGTAGCGAAATACCTCTGGGTAGATGTATTGCGGAAGAAGTCATCCGAGGCATTGAACTTGATCTCAATGCAAGGGTCACTTATTATTGAAGGGAATTGAGATACATGCTAATTTCAAATTAAAACGATTACATGGGATTACTTCTCGTTCCTCCACACACTCATTTTCCATCTGACTCCTCTAACAAAAACCTAAGCACCATTTCCTCCACAATTAGAATCATTAAATGGCAATCAGTACTTGGTATTTCTAACAGAACGGACTCTCTAGTTAAATATTGCGCGGCGACCCTCAGAGCGTGGCTGGTTGTGAAAAATACAAATCAACTTGCCAGAAGTGCGAAAAGTAAATTGCCATTAATTGAAATGAGGAGGGAAAACCATTCTGAAAGTTTATATGAAAAATTGACGTGTAAAGACGCATAAATTGCATGAAAAATGTGAATCACCCAACCGTTTTTACCGCTAAAAGACAACGAATTGTTCATCAAATTATCTCCCTTCCTCTGAGCATCACTCATATAAACATTCTTGAGAATGGGTACTAAATTGCGTCTGAAGTGTTTTCTAATGTGAATCAAGTAAAATCACATTTCCAAGTCATTCTCAGAACAACATTCACCTTCATCAGCACCACAGTCCATCTCTCACCTCTTCGAGATACACTTTCGACAGGCCAATCAGCACATATCGTGAGCTCTAAACTACTTTCAATTAAACATAATAGCTCGTTTGCAAGATCAAATAGAGTTGAATAAGTATAAAAAATCCGTTCATAATTAACTTATCTGAAATAAGAAGAAAAGGGATTTCCAAAATCGATTCTCAGTGCGAAATATTTGCGCCATTCCGACAATCGATGAATGAACCGTCAACATGTGACCAGCGATGGCATGATAATTCTTTCACTCACAATCTTCCCGCTCGAGAGTGCAAAAATGATTACACCATTTGAAAGAATTGTGAATTGAAAATGTATGTACACATGTAGTAAACACTTTTATGTAATTTAATGATCACGATGATCATCAATGGTCAGCAGAGTACACGCACTTGAGCGTCATCTAATGCAATGTACGGCAAGCTATGCACTCAGCGAGAAGATGAACACTGCAAGATATTGATTGGAGGTGAATTTACGATGAAATTTATGAAATATGCATCCATGGGGATAGGCACACACCATCTGACATTAGATGCTCTTGTGTGCAAATTACTGCCTCGGGATAATTTCTTCTCAATTGCGCGCCCTTAACCGTGCATCCTCTTCATCAATTATCACGAAAGTCCCCCCCCACCCCACCCTATCAGGAGCATCAACCTTTTCTACATAAATCTCTATCGCGAGAGGATGCTGGAGAACAAATAAAAGACGCGCCCTTTTCAAGATGCAAATTGACAATTTCTATTCAACATTACCGGTGGCTAAGTAAATTCTAATTACACCCAATAAAAATAAAAAACCATGACACTAGCTGACGATTTGCATTTTGGTCAAGGTATCTCCTCACATCACTTTGTTAAGACCAAATTAACTATACAACAATGTGAGTACACACGCATTGTAAAAATTCCCTCCTCCAAGAACTCAAACACTACGCAGACCAACTCCAAACATTCACCCATTCATTCACACTATAACCAATCTTTCTCTCTATTTCACTCTCATCGAGAGAATATCACAAACAGAAGAAAACTGCAATGATCGCGTGATGGAATGAAGATCAGGAGTCATTTAATACTGTTGGGAACATTACATACAGAATACAGCGTTGAGAAGAGTGATTTACTGATTCTGTGAAATCACTCTCTCTCTCTCACTCACTCTTCCCTAACTATTCCAGCAGCGGTCCCAATTCTGAGTTGACACTGACTAGTGAATTTCGCACAGAATGATCTTCGCTTGCAATAAAATCTCGCGCATGTTTTGATATAACCGCGGTGATCTCGCATGAGAAAGAAATATTACTACATCTTATGGTGTGCCACAGCTTCCCGAGAATAATATCTTAGCAGGATTTTATGACTGTGCTGAATATCTAGAATGTTGCCGTCCACCTAGAACACCAAACATTGCCAACTGGCAGAGGCGAGAGCACAAGCGCAGGAAAAAAAAAGTTCAAGATAGAGAGCAACGATTTGCGCATGGCAATAAGTCACGTTAGTGGCTTTCAGCACGTGTTTTGTGTGCTTCATTAAAAGCACTGTTAGGGTAGATCTTAAGCTCCTCTTGCCATGCACCTTTTGCAGCCACACACAAATAATCCGCCAATGATTAACATTAATGCCGCTCATATTTCGCTTGTATAGTAACCAATCTCATATCCAACTTCCGTATTAATGTTCTTCACTCTGGACTCCACCACATCAATTCATCAATCATTATCTCTCGCCTTTCTTGTGCACTTTTTCAGAACAAACCGTGCACCTCTGAGGCTATGAAAAACTCGAGCATTCTGCGCGGCATTCAAGGCGTCCCACAAGATAAGTCATTATATGAATTTCTGACACACCATGAATTACCATAATCCGTTCAGTAGCACAATTTTCAATTGAATGCTGCGCAGAGAGATGTGTGCTGGGGTGAAATGTTACAAAATGCAAAACTCATGTCACTCAATCGCTAAAATCAATGCATCAATGATCACACACGACACGCATTTCCATCTCTTTATCCTCCACATGCCATTAAATGCACTTGGAATGGTGAATGTGCGTCTGTTGGAGTGATTGAGGAGGAAGGAAAATTATGGTCACTTGTTGTATAAAATGATTGTTCAGCAATGTCTTTTGCCACGGTTATAGTGAGAAACACGCCTGAATACCAGCATAAATTGCATGTCCTTTTAACCATTTTAATGAAGTCATACACAATGTCTTCTTCTTCAATTTAATCGGGAAATTTTCTCGAGTCACCCTATTGAAAATACTAACACATCATTTTTTTTCTCCTGCTCACCACGGGGCATCGGCAAGAAGGAATTTCATCAGTACCAAAGCGTAGAGGGACAATTGGCTTATTTGACTTTAAATGTACAAATAGAAAACATGGAAAGTAGCAAAACGATAGAGCGAGAGAGAAATCAATGGTTAATCAAGAGGTATGCTATTGAGGAATTTCATTGCTTCTCCGACCAACCGAAATTCGCTATACAAATCATTATACAGAATGCAGATGAGACTGGCTATTGGCTAAAGAATTTAATTCTTTCTGGGAAGGAAATCATAAAGAATAGCTCATGGTGATTAACCCTTTGCGCAATGAATAGTATTTATCCTCTTAGCAATTTTCTTGCTAGGTCACGGCGCGATGGCAATGACAAGGAAGTCCACTTGGCGGCACGCAAGCCCAGCACACTTTCCATCAATTCTACAGCATCCACGTCAATTAATGTCATTTTGGAGGCACTCTTGTTTGTTGCATTTTAACAAATTCTACACAGGCTGATCCCCCTTTTCGATCATCATCATCTCACAATTTCTGTTGTCTTCCTTGCCATTATACCAAATACCTCACACCGGGGTGCGTGTTCTCAAATTGATTTTAACTTCTCCAAAAATCCATCAACAGTAGCCGCGATGCTTGTCTTTTTCTCCGCTTTCGGTGTGAGGAAGTTGATGGCATGGAGTTTAGAGGTGGAAAAAAGTGATACTCTCCTCTTACTTTATTTACACAGATCTTTACACATAAAGTAACAACATTCTACTCATTCCGGACCGAAGAGAAAAGGCATAGAGAATAAAACGATGAAGACAGATCGAAGAATTCAGCGTGCGAGACATTGACTATGGCGAAGCAAAACAAAAAAAAAATAGCAAAGTCGTAACTTTAATGATACAGGAGGAGTCAGAATCAGAGTCACTCAAATAAATGAGTGGGGAAATAAAGAATATTATCTTATTTCGATCTCGAATCTCGCACTGTCCATCTCACTTCTTTCGCGCTCCTTTGGGCAATCTTTTCGAGAATTGATTCACATCTCTCAGGCTCAAAATATTCCTCTACTTCGCTTATACAGTTAATTTCATTTTGCTCTCCTTCGTGGCGATCTCGCCAATCAGACAAATACACCATCAGGGCGAAAGAATCCACGGTGGATGGAGAGGAGGCAGAATGATTAATCGCGAATTTATTACTATGGATGCACAAGGTCGATTCCTATACAATTTTAACCCCAGCCTTTTTTCCCAACCATAAAATTCTTACTACTGCGCTCAAAAAACAACCATGAGGTCGTTGTTCTCAGGAAAATTATACACAGTTTTCTATGAATTCAATTCACTACACGATATTTTTGACTCCGTATGCCGACAATATTTTCATTTCAATCTTCCCATGCAACAGTGTTATGCCGTTGATAAATTGTGCACTGCACTTTTTTCTCTCAATTTTCGTGATCACTGTGCATCCAGTTGTTTCTTCCATTTCAAGATCACTGCGGCAATTTACGACGAAAAAGTTAGATAACATGATAATTTCAATAATCACATAGCTCAAAATCATCCCTTTCCTTTCTCATGCGCGCGCCTCTCGAGCATTAAATTGTCAAAGACAAAATGATCCTATTTCATACAATTAGACACACCTTCTTATACGGTAAGCACAACTCGCTCCAGTCACGTCACTTTTACAGTTTACACAATTATTTTGTACACTATTTCCTCAATTATGACATCATTGGGAACAGTATTCCCGGACTGGAGGAGCGAAAAAATTGAATAGGAAATACCATTGTAGATATTGCACTGGGACCGAGGGATTATTAGGAATAATCTCATAAGATTATTGACTTTCTTACACAGAGCACTTAACGTGGAGAATTTACCGAGGAAATTGAAGAGATTTTCTCAATTCTTCCACGTTAGAACCAAATGGCTTCTCTATTCTTACGCCGATATATCCCTCAATAAAACTAATACTCCATCTATTGAGATAACCAAAGGCAGGAAAATCGTAAAATAGCCCGCTAATTGTATTGTTAATTGGACAGAGATTGAGGGTCATTATCAATAAATGTCTGGCTGTTTTCATAATGCCGTCTCCTTTCTCCATCTCCACTACACATAATATCATTTTCAATACGGGTCAACGATCGTGAAATAAGCGTGAATTACTTTGAAAAGATTGGCCGTACAATGGAGAAGTCATGAATGATCATCTAGAGACGCTATAATGTGTGATCATTGACGCTCCTTGATCAATTAGACGGAACGACAGACGGCCGTTTCAGTGGAATTTTGCGCCAACTGTCAAACGATTATTTCACTGAGATTGTGTCAATAACCACTTTAAATGTAATCACCAGCAAGATGAGAAAACTAGTTTTCACTCTTCCGAGAGAGAGAGAGGGAGAGAGAGAAATTAATATTCATAGCAAATACCTTAGGTAATCCATACTGCGAAGAGGCTTTCAACCGATAAAACCCACATACACAATTTTGTAGATCAACTCCCTGCATTTCTCGCTTTTCTCATCTGCATGGCCATTTTGCCACACTTCCCCAGTGGATTAATTAATCGGAAACCAGTTGTCTGTGGTTCTAAAAGTCACTCAATTAATAGATTAAGTGCTATTTCTACTACTTTTTGAGAGGCCCTTGATAAGATACTGACTCATGCTCAAGTATAAGGAACGGGTTTTTCTCCAATGCAAAGAACATTCTCTGGATTCTGATCGTGCATATCTAACGTAACATTGACAAACTAGAGATTTTACATAAAGTCGTAAAAATGAGTATTTACAGACAAGGTTTATACCAAAATTATAGCTTAATTTCCAAACTGAATCACTTAAATATAAACTGTTATCAGCTTGAATGGTTAATTCAAAGTCCCACCAGAGGAAAAGTAATTATAGAAACTCTTCTGGACAAACTCCCTATCTAAATGGGAGGACTTGTGAGCATTGCGAGTTCTCTGGAATTCAATTAATAATTTTAATTAGATTCTCTGGCAAATCTACGCAGAGTAGTGCAGTTTTTCTTAGGGCGACTTTGTGTGGTGGCTGAAAATTGATTAAAATGAGTATTCCACCTTTCCCGTGTTTCAGAAGACACTTCCCCTGCCTAAACATAGTAATCAAGTGGGGGAAAACCCTCTAGTGCCACCGAGTGAATTTTTCATAAATTAAATATAGTGGCAAAACTACTACCGTACAACCCAAGACAGACTCTATTTTCAAGAATCTCCACCTTCCCATTTGATCTCTGTCTCTCGTGGGCACGCAAGCACGCATCGCCAATGGAAGTCTAAATAATTTTCCACGCATTTCGTCATCGCGATGATCATCGGCATGAAGGCACACGGCAAAATATCCGCAGAAAGAGTAATAGCCTAACGGTTTACCACACGACCTTTCTTCATCAGCAAATCCGCTCTTTCTCGCGCACATGGCATCTTCTTGTCAAGTTCAACGTCGCGCAATTCACCCAGGGATTCCACCGCTATATATACCTTCACCCATGTGTAATTGACATAACTCCGACTGTGAATCTCATGCTCACTCATTTCTCCCCATAGTGACTCCCATATCAGCTGAATCAACAACAAATCCAGCTAAATCAACATGTGTATAATTACATGAGAATTAAAATCGCAATTCTTGTTCCAACGTATAAATCTTAATTGGCGCCAAATGACAACAAGACATCGCGAGTGCACACAATTAAAGCCACGCCAGATACACATTTTCAATAAACAACTCACCTTCGCAGTGAAGACCATTGCCACGGTACCCGGGAAAGCATGTGCACGTGAAGCTGCCCAGCGTATTTGTACAGTGGGCAAACACATCGCAAGGTCGATATTTGCACTCATTTTCATCTGCAAAGGAAGATGGACAACATTTTAATTAATTAATTATCCATATCTCTGTCTCATTCTGCCCACCCCACTGTTTAATTAAACACCCAATCCGACGCGCAAGCACTTTCCTTGGCGGCTCTTTGCGTGATTATTGCTTAAAAGCTCTCATTGTGCATTACAATCTGCTCTGGGGTGCCTCTGTCTCGATTTTTATATCTTCATTGACCTTCCACGCTCAACACAGTGGATTGCAATCAGCGAATCCGGTGAACTTCTTAAGGATTCACGCGGAGCATTCCTCGCAATCGCAGTGCGCAGAGAACAAACCTTAATGCTCACGTTAAACGTCAAAAGCAAATAGATATCAAAATGGAATTTTATATCGAGACCATTCGTGCCAATTCTTTTATTATCCTCCTCCATATGAGAGGAGTTTTAGCAAATAGCTTGAAGCTAAGTTGAATGATGTAGGAAGCCTCTAGATCGTTATACATATCTCTTATTCCGTGCTCTATCTTGAATATCCTCTGAAATCATTGCAGTGCGCAATCAAAATTGGCTCACTCGTGGGCGTGGAGCAGTTACTTATGCCTAAGAAAGACAGTAAATCAGTCCATTATGGCCAAGTAACAATTATATCAACCTGATTATGGGCAGATATTTTTAGTCTTCAATCTAAACATTTCCGTTGGAATACAAAACTATTCGTCATGGCATTCATTACTTGTGCAAAACCCGAAAACAGTCAGTAAACTCACGTCCTTGGAGGAGCAACCGAAATCGAAATTCAATGAGCACTTAATCGCACGAAGGTCACAGGAATTCATCAAACCCATAATCCAACTGCAAAAATGTTTTTCATTGTCTCAAGGACTGAAGACGGCCCGAATCCAGATCTCAAGATGTTCTGGGATGTTCTGCGATTGTCTCACATTGATGAGACGAGAATCTCAGATAATCTTCTGCAATTATAGCCACTTTTACGATGGACAGAAGGATCTCTCGCGCAGTCTTTTCCCCCTGCGAGAAAATGTATCGCATCTCAGTCCATATGTTCAATTGCAACTATTGAGTCAATTCGTGCTGATTCATCAGTTGGTGGATATTTTTTTCTTCCTGTCTCGTCTGCAATCGGAAAACCTCTTGCAGCATATATCCCACCACCAGAATCGACCGTGTGTGCACTCTCCGAGCAACCGCAAAAGGCGTGATGCACGTCTATTGAGTTTAAGTACGTATAATTTAGGGACTGTAATTGAAAGCATGTTCACAATTTAGCTAAATTATTCCAATTTCCCTCCATAAGAGGTTTGACTCCGTGTGAATTGGATGTGGAACTCTGAGAGCCCTTTTCTCAGCTGACTCCAGCCAAGAATGGCAAGAAAAGAGGCCCAAAATACACTTCAACCTCTGATTAATACACTAAATTGATCAATGACAACCAAATTTGGCCGATTCTGATCATCGCGGACATCCATCATCATCATCGCAGAGCCGGAATGATTCCACTTTGATGTGCCAAGCCATCTTCTCGTGCATGGGAACTTTTTACCCTCCCCATCGTCGCGTATGACTGAGAATTAATTCTGACAAAATGATGAAAAATTCACGAGGGGCCTCTTAACTCCCCATATTCACTCAATTTTTCTCCACTCCATCATCTTCTCTCCTCGCCAATTTTTTTTTCTTCACCTGCCTGTATTTTGCCCAATTTGCCCACTCAAAATTGTACAAGTGTAATTGAAAACACCGTGAGCATCGTGAAAGGTCTCCTAAACACCAATAATTATCTCTGCCATCGAAGCGTTACAGAGTGAATTTGAATTGGTCACCCAAAGACACGCACAAACTCAAAATATAATGACATACAATAAATAATGTGTAATTTTCCCTTCTGCTTCGTTGTGCTTCTCCATGCAAAAATCCATATCAAAGCACTGCGGACAGTGTAGTTGCAATTGAAGAAAAGTATTTTGGGAATACATTACCTGGCACTTGGCAATTACATCCGCCAAAACCATCATTACAGTGACATTGAGAGTCCAAGCAAGCTCCATTGGAGCACACTGTGCCATCTTTGTCGCAATCATCTGCAAGAGAACAGTGGAGACAGGTGAATTAAAAAGAACTCACAAGAACAAATTCGCATCGATACTCCGTAAATCACAGCACAACAGGGGGTGTGTCATTGAGGAAGTGGAAGCTGATTGCTCCAGCCTATACCATTAATCTTAGCAAGAGTTTAGGAATGTAAATCATCACTAAATTGGGTCAAACATGTGCTCAAAACACTCTCAAAAGTCATATCATTACTGTTCCCCGGAGCAGCGAGACCCGGGGAAGATAAATGACTCTCGGGAATCTTCCCGTTAAGGCACTCGAGGTATTTTGACTTGTCTAATTTGCAGCTCTTCTAGAGCAACATATGTTACTCAGACAAGTGTTCTGTGCATTTCACCAGCAACCCATCGGGAATACCCAGAGTGCCTCATCTGTAATTACGACTGAAGCGTCTGATGAGCAACAACCTCGAGAGGCGCACTCGAACAAAGTAGTTGACAAAAAGACCCGCATAGTGCATTGTGTACAAACGAACTCAATGACTTCCCCCCACGATGGTCGCGTCTGTTTGTGACGTCCAGTCAAGGGATTGTGCCATTCGGAAACAAGAAATCCAACTTACGAGAACATTTCAGCTTATCACCCAATTCATCCGATCCCAGATAGCAGTCTGATGTGCCGTCGCACAGCTTGGACAGCTCATATAGTTGCAAGTAATCTGTGGATTCGTTCACTTGGCAGCCAAAGTAGCCATCCTCGAGGTTGAGAAAAAACACCTCACGATTTAAACCGAAACCCACATTTCTGTGGGATTGTGAATGTGCCTGCAAAGGAGATGGAAAAAAACGACATGAGAAAAAAGGTGAATGCATGAGTAAAAAGTATGGTAACTGATACTGCAAAATTTTAAACACATGTGAGTGCATTAATTAACTAATTAATTGCAATTTTCGCATCTTTTGCCCTTCTCTCTTGCGCCGCTCTCGTGCCTGACACTCAAAGTGTGTTGGAGGTATGGAGTCTCTAAAATGGGAGGCAAAAGACTCTCCACAGTGTGGAGGGACAAAAAAGAGTGCGGCCACGAGAAAAGATACAGATTACACTTCTGAAACTGACATGAAACCTTGAATAATGTTTCACAACATCTTCTTCATCCCGCGATGTTGAGAAGCGCAGGAGAGAAAGAGTTGGAGATGAGCGCGTTGGCTGCTTCCCAATAACAATTTAACATTACATGAGATGCGATTATAATAACGAGAGTGAATGACGTTCAGGGAATACATCTCAATTACAATTATAATGCTGTGTGCTGTCTTGTCAGCTACCTTCCCTCTGATGTGAGCGCTTATTGACGGGCAGAAAGTTTAGGAAAGGGGAGCGTCCCACAACACATGTTACATTCAATGTAATCCTCTAATTCCCCAATCAAACTGTCCCCACAAAAGTGCTGCACATCCAGAGTAACAGTGAATAGCCCTTCGAGATAATATATTCATCGCTAAATGCATTGCATTTCTCCCTCTCTCTTTTCATTCTAGCGCAATTTTCCATTTCTCTCAACTGCCAATTTTCACTGCATCCAGCGAAATTTCACAAATGCAGAGAGAATCGCATCTCCCAGACTATTTGCATTTCTTTTCCATCTTCAGGCAAATCTCACTTGTGAACTTTGCATTTTACATTGAAAATTAGCATCTTCAAATACACGGAATCCGGTTCTCCCAGCGCGATGTTTTGACTAATGAAGCGAAGAAAAAAACAACATCCACAAGTTTCGTCTTCATGACAGACACATCCCATCTATATTTACAGCATGAACTCAGACAAGAGAATTACTGAAAATGCCATAAAGCGCTAATGTATCGACTTGCAAAAAAACCTGATAATATTTGGAATATTAATTTTAGATTTTCACCACTCTGTGTATTTTTCAGAGATCTCTCTGCAGAAAATGGCAAATCATTTCGCAGATCGCGCATCGCGTGAAGAATTCTTCGTTAGATCAACAATAGAGCGCAAATGGAGGACTAAAAAATTGTGTCTCTGTATAAAAAAATTTGTTGAAATTAGTAAATAATATGTGAAAAAAACAGACCACCTAAGTCAATAGCATGTAAGACAGAGAACATTCAACAAATTGAACTTTGATGCAACACTGATCTTGGTGGCGTGTGAAAATCAAATGTTACACACTGGGAGAAAAAAAAATTAATTCCATACTTTGAAAACACCAAAATTAATATTCCTCAGCATCGGGTTTGATAGTAAAATTTTCTCACAGTGCAGCGCAGCAATAAAACAGAGGCCTTTTTAGGTTAACTAAAGCATTTGGATTCCCAATCGTTCATTTATCTACCTTATGTCTAACACATTTTTCCTCAATTCCACCATTTGTGAGCTCATGCAAGATTATAAAGAATCGATTGTTGGCAGCAAAAAAAAGATCAATATTTCTTTTTCTGACACATGTCAATCAAAAGATAATTTGTTGAGGAATTGCATGATTATGGCTGAATGTGGACGAGGAGATGGCTTCGAAAAGCCATCAATGTGGATGAATGATGTGACAAAAAGTGCCAATTGATCGCGATGATGGTACGAAAAAAGCCCGCAGTAAATTCACTTCCGTATTTCAATGTTTTCTTCACCTCACGATGGTCGCCTCGGCAGGGAGGCTATCAAAGACAAAATCGCCGCCAATAGATTGCAATTTATTTGCATGATGATCAATTATCTCCACATTGAGAGTGGATTCGATAGAGAGGGCAGCATTATGTAGCCTTTTATTAATTGCGGCATTTTGCTAAATTCAAACAAAATATCATATATAAATGATCACTTTGGAGTCTCGCCCCTTCGCGTCTTTCCGCGTGATTGATGATCCGCAGTCACAACAATCACTTAATCTCTCTGCAACTTTTTAAATCGCACCTCTGCCACACACTCAATTGTGATCAATCGCGACGAACAATGCTCCCAAACCATCACCATCTCACTCTCACCCATCGACCGCCAATTGAGCTCGTCGAGCAATTGAGAGCATTGAATTTCAATTGCGCGACACTTGTTCAACACGCTTTTTGCGTGAAGATCACCACTCTCGATCGCATTCTATGCCTCACTTACACTTTTCACGGTTAATGTCTCTACCAACTCACCGTTGAGCGACTTTTCCGCACTGCATTATACAAAAATTTCAATTACCAATCCCACCACCGTGGATTTGGAACAACAGTGTGCGCCAAATGCATCAACTAACACGATCATCAGTGCCCGCAATCGCGAAAACAGTGAAGAGCAAACTATTTCACTGCGAGTTAATAAGAAGCTTTCACAATTGACAATCATGATGAATCACCATTAAAATTTGATCAGCATCTTCTCATTTCCAAGTAACATATTCAAGTGATTTTTATCGTCTTCAGTAGAACACTATTTGCTCTTCACTGTAAATCGCTCAACAATTAGTGATTCCCCATTGAGAGATTATTGGAATTTTTTGCTTTGTTGCACACACTTTTGCCGCCCATACGAACTGTTATGGCGCTGCTAACCCATATTTCAAATGGATACATTTTAACACAGAGAGAGAGAGAAAAAACTTCAGAATTACATCATAGAAAAATGTTGTTGCCGAGAAAAATAAGTGATGTTTTTTAATTGATTTTGCAATCAACACCCACACGTCAATTTCTTGCTTCTCCGCCATCATTGTGTCATTCTCATGCAAATTCAGGGGTATTTGGAGAATTTAAATAAACAGCCAAGAGAAATTCATCCAGAGATTTTAGAATTTCAAATGTTGACATGGAGATTTTGATCTTGGCTCGAGATTTAGTGATGGAGAAAAAAATCTCACATTTCAAGGCTTGGTTTCATGAACAATTTTTGGTCATCCTCTGTCAGAGAGTGTGATTTAATGGAATTCTGCGAAGTCTCATCAATTTCCTCTATTCAGAGTCAGTGAATTTATGCCATGAAGGAATCTCGCAAATTCAAATGTTAGTGACAAGATAATTATAATTCACATACGCTAAATAATCACACACGAATATGTTGGCAGAAGTGAGGATAATTGAGGTGTAAAGGAGTAAATTAGAGTGAATTGAAGGAAGGTCATCAATTACATGGAAGATATCTTAGAATTCCAGGCACGATGCATTATTTTGCTAATTCCTTTTAATAGTTATCATCTTCCGCACAAGGAAAGCCATTTGAAGTAAACATCAGCTTGTTGATGTCACCTCCAGCATTCCTGTGTTACACAACATAGGCAAAAAATGACAAATATCCGTCAGTTTTATCTCGTTTTTGCCCACCACTTGATTAATTCTCCTTTTGTTCTACCACTTCATATTAATACAATGCCAGCGATAAATTAAATTACCATTCCCCATTTGAAGCTTTATATCCACATATGGTAATATTAACACATTATTTGTAAATTAAAGATTTTTTTTTTCCTCTTTTTAAGCTGACACAGTGAAAAATGCCTCTGATACTCATGTCAATTAGACTTTCATGAGAGATAAAGAAGCATGATTTTTTCTGCAAGTTGAAAAATATCTTTTCTCTTTCACTGCAAGAGCTTTTATTTACAGCCACGAAGCTCCAGACAACGAGACAGGCGAAAGCACGTTTCCCTCCGGCTTTTGTACAATGCAATACGAGGAAATATTTCTCACACAGAACAAAACCCCAACATCCAATGACATTTTCTAATAAGACCTATACACCACATGAAGAGATACATATCGCCTTTGATAAATAAATTCTAGATAGACTTCAAATGAATTCTCTTCATGCTCAGAACATCACGTTATTGTCGTTTCCTCTCTAAAGTTTCGTGTACCTTATATTCCCTTCAATATTTTCTAGAAAAATTCACATCTCGTCTCACGGGTGAACTCTTCTGTAACATTGTGAATTTCAGTCTTTTTTTTACACTCTTTGCCGAAGGGCACAAGAGTCAAACAGCAGTGGCTTTGGATGGCACAGAAGAGATTTACCCGGAGATTCTCTTTCATTCGCTTCATACATAGCAATTGTGAATAAATTCATGTTGAGAATAGAAGATAAATTTTCGAAAATGTCTCACAACTTGTACTACCCAAGACTCTCTCCCTTCATCCCAGTCTTGCACATAGAGAACCATCTTTCCAATGGGAAGAATTTGAAAGAATAGCATCTATTGATGAATAAACCAGACGAAATCTTCCCACAATTTGCAGTAAGGAAAGAGATTTCAAGATGAGATTAGTGTGGACTCACAGTATTATGGCCCTTGTTTGTGAAAAAGTTGAAGGGATTTGCAAATGATTTGCAACGCACACAAAAACAGCTTTCTCAATTTCCTCTAAATCTATAAAACTTTGAACCTTGCTTTGAATTTCCGTGCCATTTTCCTGATCACTGTTATTCAAGCAAGTGACATTCACATCACCCAATGTTGCCGCTGCATAAAAGCACCGAAATGTTAAATTGAATTAAAATAGCATGCTTGAGGTACATTGAATACTCCAAGTGGCACTTATGTCTTGAGAATTGTGTCTCACCATTATTTCTTAATTAAATTATAAACAGATACAGGAATATTTGAGCGTGTGCGTTGATATTTGACAAAATTTTTCTGTTAGACCACTCCAAATGGCATTCCACGGTGTGAACATTCAAGGTAATCTCCGCCACTCTGCGCGGAGATCTCAAGTAATTACAATTTTCTGTTGACATAATGTTTATTCCAAGTATACGCGGACTGTGGAGGGAAATATTCATGAGTGGGTGGTTTTCTTGGGTGTACCTTCTTGTGTTGACTTTTCTCATT